GTGATACTGTGAGCCACAACTTCATATCTGTAAAGCAGGGGTAATAATACCAACTCTGCAGGGATTTTAGGAAGGACAGATGAAATTTATGTAATGCAATTAGGACTTTGTAGACTCTTACTATCGCATCATACTTGTGTTTTTGCCAATCTTGCTGCTGGCTGTCTCAAAGTATTCACTGTGTGAAAGCAGCCTGAACCTCAAATGGGTTTATACTCTGAAACTGAATGCAGTTTCCTGATAACTCTTTTTAAAAGTAATTGAGATATAATTAACTTATTAGTTTTAAGTATACAACATAATGATTGAATATCTGTATGCAGTGTGACATGATCACCACAGTAAGTCTAGTTAAGGTAACATATGTGGTGGCACTAATGGTAAAGAACATGCCAGCCAATGTAGGAGATGTAAGGGATGTGGGTTCGATCCCTAGGTTGGGAAGATCCCCTGGAGGAAAGTGCAGCAACCCAATATTCTTGCCTGGAGAATCCCCATGGATAGAGGAGCCTGGCAGGCCCCAGTCCACAGGGTCGCAAAGAGTCGGCCACGACTGAAGCAACTTAGCATGCACACATACCGCCATACATAGTTACAAAACTTTTCTCTTGTGATGAGAGCTTTTAAGGTCTACAGCCATGAAAGTGAAAGTTGCTCAGTTGTGTCCGACTCTTTGATACACCACGGACGGAATTGTCCAGGCCAGAATACTGGAGTGGGTAGCTGTTCCCTTCTCCAGGGGATCTTCCCAACCTAGGGATCAAACCCCGGTTTCCCACATTGCAGGCGGATTCTTTACCAGCTGAGCCACAAGGGAAGCCCATACATGGTTACAAAACTTTTCTCTTGTGATGAGAGCTTTTAAGGTCTACTGCCATAGCAAGTTTCAAATATACAGTACAGTATTATTAACTAATATTAACATATTAGTCACCATGCTGACAGCTCTTAATCTCATCTTGATAAGGTACATAAGCATTTCCCCACCCAAAACGAAAATACAGTTAGTCTACTGGGCTGAAATTGCCAATATCTGACTGTTTTAGACTTATGAAAATAGTGATTTTGTATAATTCAACCTAAAAGTATGTTACTATCCCTAGAATTTACTTCTTTGTCCATCCTTTAAAAACTCAATCCCATACTCTGCACAGTTTGTGGCACAGAATGGGTATCAGCACACATTAACTGAGTAAATGTATGAATGAATGAATGAAAGCAGAGTCATATAGTGATATATTTGTGTGCAGGTGAAATCAGGTAAAACAGCCTCCAGGACACAGCCTAGAGTGGGAACTGAAGCTCCAAAGAACAGCCTGTGTGGGGGGTGGTGGTGGTGTTTGTGTGTGTGTAATGGGAGATTGCTAGAGAGGAAAACAGCCGTGCTATTGCTCTGCTTGGGTGATAGGAGATAGAATGTGGAGAGGAAGGGATAGTTTAACATCAGCTGGCAAGAGCAGAGTCTCTTCCTTTGTTCTCTTGTCTCCGGCCACTGCTGTAGCCAGCAATAATTGGTTGGTTTCACTTCCAGTCATTGTACTCCTAACAGTAGCTACTACTTTAAAGATAAGTCACTAAAAATAACTCAAGTGGCATCACTTTATGTTCTGAGTCATTTGGTTCAGCATGGAATATTCACAGTGTTGTTTGAGAATTCCAGAGCTCCTGTTGTATTCAAATCAGGCACCACTAATGAGAAGGTGTATATTTCTTAGGAAGTGCCTCCTTAGTGGAGACAGTTATTCAAAGCTGCTGCATTTTAAAAGTTAGTGCTGATGAGTCAGGCAGTGAAGGTAATGGTTTAATGGTTCTCCTTAAGAGCTCAGGATAATCTTCGAGAATTTTCTGTAGCCCACAGTCTTGCTGCACCCAGAACTGCTCAGATTTGGGGAGGCTGATTACCGCATATAAGACTTCATGAGACTGGTATGTTTAAACAAAGGAGGGTAGTCTTTTCTAATTACTAGAAGACTTGCATCCTTTGTTCAGGATTTGAACTTTTGCTAAATTATTAATAATCAGAAATGGCCTCACAGAATCAGAGCAATCATGGAAATTTTGGGTTTTGAGGTATCTTTCATCAAGGCTGTGGTGAAGTCTAATGATTGTCCTGTTAAAGAGTACAGCTGACCCTTGAACAACATGGATTTTAACTATGTGTCTTGTTTTCAATAGTAAATACTGTCATACTATACTGTTTGTGATTGCTTGAATCCAAGGTTGTAGAACCTCAGATGCGGAGGAACTGGGCGTATGGACAGAAGTTATGTGAATGGATTTCTGACTGTGTGGAGAGCCTGTGCTCCCAACTTTGGCATTACTCAAGGTCAACTGTATGTCACTCCAGCAATGGAAAACTTAATTTCCTCCCATGGATACTTAGTCACTCAGTTGTGTCCAACTCTTTGTGACCCCATGGACTGCAGCCTGCCAGGCTCCTCTGTCCATGGGATTCTCCAGGCAAGAAGAGTGGAGTGGGCTGCCATTTCCTCTTCCAGGGGATCTCCCTGACCCAGGGATCTAAACTGCATCTCCTGTGTTGCTGGCAGATTCTTTACCCCTGAGCTATCAGGGAAGCCCTATGAACACCGATGAACACTGCCAAATTTTTTTCTGTGACCTCTCCTTTCCATTTCCATAGTCTCCTTCCATTTAGGATACATTTAGTTGAATAAATTCCTGCAACTAAATGACAGTGTTAGCTTTCCAGATCCAACTCTCTTGAGTGTACACCCAGGCTTCCTTGGACGAAGTTCGGAGTGAACTCAAGTTTTTCAAATGCCATTTTACAAATACATTCTTGATTTACTCCCACAGTTAACTAGGATCACTTCTGTGCACACATTTTGCTAGTTGAACTCTCAGTTGAACTTATTTCTAAGTTCCTGGGAGGTACCTCACATTTGTCCACTTTTACTACCAATAAGCCGTCATGAGTGGTAAAGTTCTCTGGTGTGTGAGGGGAAGTGGAAAACGCCCTGGAGAACAAACAGGTGTTAGGGCATTGTCATTCTAGCAAAGCTTATTTACTTCCCCAGTCATCAGCTCTTCCCTCTCCTTGGACATTCTGTGCTCTCCTTTGCACTCTTGTAATTACAGCATTTATCAGGTGACATTTGCTATTGCTGTCCATGCTTCTGTTGCTGCAAGTGGATCAGTGGTTCTCAACCCTTTTTTCTTCTACAGCTTTGTCTCTGGGTATAATTTAGTACTGTTAGTACTGGTGTTTTTTGTTAAGGCTTTAAAAATTCACAAATAATAAGTGAGTAGTCTCACTGTAAAGCAAAGAAGCAATAATTACAATTAATTAAAATATTTAAGTACAAAATATTCAATATTTAATATTGATAAGATTTTAAAATGCAAAAGCCTGTGTTGGAATGACAGTTTGTGCTTTAGCACTTATAATTGCTTATTTATTCAATCATTGAGACTGTCAGCATCATATCTTGAATAGTGTCTTCATGACTGGGCCTCCCTCACTTGCCAGCATGCTTTTAGAACTTATAAAGGCATGCTTTTTGGCTAAGAACTGGAGAAAATTAAGACATTGTGAATAGTTGGATGTTAAAAAGTGCTATTACTGGGAATTCCCTGGTGTTCCAGTGGTTAGGACTCTGAGCTTCCATTGCAGAGGGCATGGATTCTATCTCTGGTCAGAGGAGTAAGATCCCACATGCTTCAAGGCAAAAAAAAAAGAAAAAAGAAAAAAAAGAAAAAATTCTATTCAAGGCCAAAAAAAAAAAAATCTATTGCTGTTATAATTAATTTTCAAAGAGCACATTTAGTCTTCAATGAAAAATTTAAAAACTTCCTAAATTTTATACTCATTTAAATCAAAATGGTTGTTTTTGGAGAGATTAGCCACAGCTCTTGAGTAACAGGCATTAACTATTGCTGTTATGTAACCAGTCTTTTGTTGTTTCATAATGGTATTTCTATGACTATGGATCCAAGTTCTCACTCTGCTTTATTTTGCCTTAGGCACTTTCAGTTAGTTAGGTGTTTCAACTGGTTTGTGTGTGAGAAAACGTTATCCCCGTGGTTTTTGCCAGAAATGCTGCATTCAACTTTTCCTAAAATGATTTATTTTGCTGAAAACTCTCCTTTCCCCCCCATAATGGTATGTCAGCTGAAAATGTAGCATCATTTATTTCTTTATGAAAGCGAGATATTGCCTTTACATTTGCTTTAATCCTTAGACTATCTCACCATCTCATCTGGAATGACGTGAGGCGCCAGCAGCCTTTTTATTCTAATTATTCCGCAAACAATAGTGAATGTCTACCAGGTCCCAGGCACTGCCTTCCACACTCAGGCTTCACAGAGAGAGAAGCTCCACTCTTCAGAAGCTCCCTATCTGTAGAGAAGCCAGCAGGTAAACTACTAAACACCATTCTGTGTGCTGCGTGCACAGTACAGAAGGCGTGGAGGGCGGCAGGGGCACAAAGGCCGGCCGGCGGGCTGAGTCCATCTGGGAGCTCAGGGAAGGTGCTTGGAGAAGGCTAGCTTTGAGCTGAGTCTGGAAAGATGGATCACTTTGTCAGGAATAGGGAAGAAAGGACATTCTAGACAGAAGGAACCACGTGGACAAAGCATGGAGATGTGAAATTGCATGGTGCTTTTGGGAAATGACGAGATGCCTTGTTGAGCTGGAGTGGTCAGGAACTGAGGCAGAGACTGGAGGACAGTACTGTCTTTCTGGAGTGTACTCTTGCTGACTGGTGTACTTTTTGTATTATATAGTAGAATTAACTGTGGACAAAATAATTGACTGGGGTAATGGAATAATCACAGAGGGATCTATGTGATGCCAACCAAATAAATATAACAAAACAGAATGTAATACAAAATATATAAAATAAAATACCTTTCCTCAAAATTCCCAAAATCTGCTTGTCACTAGAAACAGAACTGCTGAGGAGAGACAGGAAACAACTAACTCTTGACTGATGATATTTTCTGTTCTCTTTTCAGCCTCCCTGCATTATTTGGGAACAATGTGGGCCTGGATACTGTGGACGCTCCCTCTACTCTGCAAATTTGGCCTGGCAGGTAGGTCAGCCTGTGCCCTTTTATGGATTATGTGATTCTTTTTGCCTTTTTTGGATAAGAGTTGTTAACTTGAGAACCAAGGGGCACCTGTACATGGGCATTCATGGATGAACAATGGGGGATTTGTGAACTCCCTGAATTTGTGTGGGGTTGTATGTGCGTGTTGATATATACTTATGCATGTGCAAGTTTGGCAAGATGATCTATCATATTTTCAAAGGGAGATATGACCCTTTGAAAGTCAAGATTCACTGTTTTAGAGTAATAGTAGGTGATTATCTTGGTGATTCCTGTGTTAAGTGTGCATTGGTTCATGTAGGATACACACAGAAAAACATATATACATTTTCACACTATTTGCCATAAATTTCAAGGGTATAAAGGGAAATGAAGCAACATCTTTCTACAATGGTCCAACTCAAAACTATGGGCCTAAAGGCCATATAATACCTTGTAGGTCTAAGATGTATTACTTAGATCACATATTATGTTTAAAAAGATAAGACCAGATTAAAAGAAATGGTGACTGAACCCTAGGAATGTAGAAAAGGCATGTAGTATAATTATTAGTCTGGTCAGGCTGCTATATAACAAAATACCACAGACGGGATAGCCTAAACAACAGAAGTTTATTTTCTCACTGTTTTGGAGACTGGAAGTCCAAGGTCAAGGTGTCTGCAGAGTTGATTTGCTCTGATACCTCTCTCCTTGACTTGTAGATGACCATCACCTTGCTGCCTCTTCATGTGGTCATCCCTCTGTGTATCTTAATCTCCTCTTTTAAGGACACCAGTCAGATTGAATTAGGATACACTGTAAAGGCCCCATTTTAGTTAATACATCCTTATATGCCCTGTTTCCAAATGCACAGCAGAGAGAGGGTAGGGCTTCAACATATGAGGTTTGTGGGGAGAGATACAATTTAGGCCATAACTTATCATAATCAGAAGTCACCCAGAAGGCAGTTGTGATCCAGAGATAATGAGAAAGTCTTCTAGGCCTCTGGCATGCCTGGCCCACCTTCAGGTCCCTGGGCTTATACTTGTGGACACTCCAGAGCTTTGGAGACAGTACAGGCAGGTAGGGCTGTGTGTCTCTGTCTCTTTCAGCCATCTCAGAAATCCCCAATTGCTTCCAACTGTTCAATTTAAAGTTCTGCTTATAAGCATCATGACACCTTTCCTCTCAACTCAATCTCGGTCTTGTATCTCAGTCTTCTCTTACTACCTTTCATTAATACCACTTCCTGTATGACTGATTCCAGTTTCCACACTACTTCCCTTCTAGACAATTTTTCCCTCGGTCTCAGCCTTGCCCTTCTTTTATTTCAAGGCATTGTTCACAACAAAATTTATCTTTGCAAAGACACCAAAGAGATATGAGCATAGAGGGGAAGAAGGGAGATTGAGAAGATCTTTTTAATTTTGAAAAATGTTCTTTCTGCATGTAGGAAATTCACTGATAAGCAAGAGCAGAACATTCTCCTGGTCCTTCTTAGAGGAAAATTCTGAATATTTCTGCATATTTCTAAAAATAGAGGAAATAGTTATTTCTAGAAATGTAGCAACATGTTTATATGCTTTTCTTAACATGTGGAAGGATACATGTGTGTGAGGGGCAAATGTAGCCCTCAGTTGTCCATGTGTAAAAAATAAACATTCTGTTGTAGTTTTAAATTTACTCAAAAATTGTGAAGATAGTACAGAGAATTCTTATATACCCTTCATCCAGTTTCCCTTATTGCTAGTATTTTATAATAGCATCGTATGCTTGCTGAAACAAAGAAACTGATATTAGCACATGATTGTTAAGTACATTCCAGACTTTATTTGGTTTCACCAGTTTTTCCTTAATGTTCTCTTTCTATTCTGGGATCCAATTCAGGGTAGCATATTGCACTGAATTGTCATGTCTCCTTAGTCTCTTCTGGTGGATGACAGCTCTTTAGTATTCCCTTTTTTCTCCTGACTGTGGCAGTCTTGAAGAGTACTGTGAGTAGTACTCTTGGGGTTTTTTGAAAAATAGAACAGAGGTAAAATGCCCTTCATTGCTCTATCACAATTATATAATGTTTGTGACAGTCTTTTGATGAAGAGTTTATATTCTAATTAGAGGTAAGCTGAATAAGACTTAAAATAGGCACACTAGTTGCCAACAAATAGGCAGGACAACAGATGTATCAGCCTTGCTACTCACTGGCAGTTACATAAGTTAGGGCAATTCAGACATATGGGATCCACACCAGATAACTGAAGCTGTAAGTAATAACTCTAAGTAAAGAAAGAAAGCAAAAATGAAACTGTTTGTTGATCTGGTTTTCCTTTTTATTCCAGTTCCCCTTGACACCCTCATTTGTGATAAAACAAATCTACAATGCCCTGAGATCATATGCAGAGTTAGAATGTCATGAGGACATAACAAAGAGAAAAAGAGGGAAAATTACTCTTAAATGAATTCCTCCCCCAAGTCCTAAAATCTTGGATTTTCAGGCAAGCTATTTTTCACATGAGGCAGGGAAAGTTGTTTATGCTGTGAAAATAAACAAGCCTAAAATCTTAGTGCTTAAGACAACAAAGTCTATATGTCCATCACTGGTAAGTAGGGACCTAGACTAATGGAGACTGTACCAGCCTAAGACTCATCATCTCAACATTGATTTGCAGGGTGTGCAGGGCAGAGGGAGGAGAGAAAAGATAATAATGTACCAGTACTTTAGTCTCCTCATGTCAGGGGCCAAAGAAGTCATGTTGCTATGCCCAAGGAAGCAAGGAAATAAAATCTTCCTGTATGTCCGGGAAGGGGAAATACTCATGAGCACTGGAAATGTTCCTGGGCATTCATTTTATTTATCATAAATCTCTTCTGTAACGCCAACATAGGGGATCAGATTATGCCAACCCAAAATATACCACTTTGGCATAAGGATTTATTTTGATTCGGAGTCAAATGAAAATCAAGAGATGCAGAAGTGAAGTCTTTGTGAAAGTTCTTTTATTTGTTTAAAAGAAGAAACTTCTGAAAAGTGAGGACTGCTATAAATCTCTCCTGGAGGAGTTTTATGACCACAAGGAAGACAGAAAATCAGTGCCAGGATGGATCTGCACATGTAAACCCTGCTCCATTAGTGTCTCACATACATTTACCTTTTCACAGTTTGCCACCCTTGAAAGCCTAAGTTCGTTTTCCTTTGCCCTGTCAGTTCTCTGCAGATTTATTGGTTTTGTCTTAAGATGCTGTATCAGCCCAAGATCTAACCACCTCTTTAAGTTACCCTTTATTGAGTTTTTGCCTGTGTAATGTCACTGAATGCATTAATATAATGTTTTCTCTTATTAACCTGTCTTTTGTCAGTCTGATTTTACAGGGTCCTGGCTGGAGAACCTAGGAGAGTAAAAGGAAACAGAATTTTTTCCTTCTCTATACCAATATCAAGTGGCCTCTACAAGAATATTTCTGTCTTGCCATGTACCAAACAGTGAGAGTAAAGCAAATGTAGCTCCTTAAAAAAAGCTCAGGAGAAGAGGAAAATCATTTTTATAACTCCTTCCTCTTCTGATATCTGATGACACTGATGGTTCTGGTAATCAGAGGTTGGATTCCCCTCTGACTTATGGTTTTTATCTATATTAATCAAAGCTTCTGAAAGAGCTAAAGAGAGATATTCAAGGAAGAATAGTAAATACCAGAGTTCACCATGGTTCGATGGGAATATGTTTAGATCCTCAAGGATCTATTCCTGTGCTGTGCTATGCTAAGTCACCTCAGACGTGTCTGAGTCTCCTCTGTCCATCTGTTTCCTCACTGGGTTTTTTGGTGGCTGTCTTTGGAATCAGCCTGTGCAAGACAACTGAGAATGAAGGTGGAAATAAAATGTGACTGTAGGGGGCCATAATGAGAATAGTACAAAACTAAGGACTATTCTGAGGAGACAGGGAAAGGCATCTTATTTCTTTGTTTTCCAGCCAATGATCAACTTTGAAATCCTGCTAAGAGTTCATGTGCTGGTATGAGTAAAATGGAGATGGAGGGCAGGCTAGCTTTGGATGTTTATTTGTAAGGAACTTGGCCAGAGGACTAAAGACAGACCCACATGTACACACAAACACATACAGCCAAAATCTCTGAGCCAGAGAGTGAGTCAGTCAGTGTGAAAGCCATTCCCTGGGGACATTGTTGGCTAACCCTTGGCTCACCCTCTTGTAGAATTTTGCCTGTCCCACTGACAGTTCTGAAGTGTGTATCTGTTAATATTCTGCTTGCTGTCCTGAGGATTCCGGAGGGAGGGTTTTCAAGCTATGTGGGCTCTCTGGGGAATTACTGGGCTAATTAGTCTACCTCCTGATCTCCACTTAATATGTAGTATTATTTGGTTCAGGTCAGTTAGCTTTGGTCCTTTAAGCAGCTGGACTTGGAGATCACCAGCTTTTTCATGGTTTTCAGCATGTAAGTAGCACAGATAGAAAGTCATTGACTTAACTACTGACTAGTGGGTGTTGTCAGGATCAGGCTCATCTGCAGGACTCAGAGGAAGGCTTCTCAGGAAAAAGCTGGGAATGAGGACATGACATGAAGGCCCCTTGCTCTCCTTCACTCTTTTTCGGCACTCCCAGGGGCTGCTTTACCTATGTGGACAATTCTCATTTCTTAGACCACAGTGTCCCACATTGCAGGCAGATTCTTAACCATCTGAACCACAGGGAAGCCCATGAATGAATATACAAATCCCGAAAGTCCCAGATCTAAGCAGTGAATACAACCTATTCTGAAACCGTTTATTACTGACTTCCTATTAGAAGGTGTTACCTCTGGAAGAGTTGAAAAGTATACATTAGTCAGATATGAAGATATATTTTATAGCATCCTTATTTTCTATGATTAAGCTAATCAGTTTTCAAAAAGTCCCTGCTCCCCTGGAAAGCCAGGCAAGCCTGAGGAAGGGAACAAACATGGGCAGCACTTAAATTTGTTAGCATTGTCTCGGTTTCTCCTGATTTATAGTGTTTTTCAGCTGATTCAGTCTCTCTGGGGTAACTGTGTGCAGTTCCAGAGTTTCTGCCTGTCCCCCTATTCTGCCTAGGGTGGTGTCTAAGTATATGAGAGGGTTTATGTAACTTCAGAGTCCTGGTCTCCTAAATCTGTGTGAGCAAGTCTTTGTTTTCCTCTGTGTTCCTCTGGACGGTCTGCTGGGGTCTTATCCCCTCTCTGCTCTCTGCTGCCGGGCAGCCAGCTTTGCGTGGGCTTTGGGGTATCATTGCCAAACCCACTCCTGAAGTTCATGCCCCAGCTGTTTGCCTGTGGTCTTGACATCCCCCTGTGCACAGAAGCGTCTTCATCTGAATCCCAGGCCTGATCTACAGCCATATCACCTTGATCTCTTCTGAATCCCAGGCCTGGACCAACCCCACACATCTATACCCACCCCCAGTTCCTCACCCTGAGATACTGGGGACTTCTGAATCCCTGCTTGCTACTCTCACCTGTTCAGAGTTTACGTGAAGATCTTCCCCAACTCACCCTCTGCAGTGCTAGGATTTCCATATCATGCTGGAGTTGGTGCTGAGTGGTACACGAGGCTCCAACTAGACTTCCTATGCCTGGTGAAATAGGCCACCAGCCCAAATGACCTTGGTTCTTCAGAGTCATGCGTACCTGTACTGTTGCACCAAGAACGCTGATATCTGAGTTCTTTGCTCCATCTTACCTTCACTCCCCTGCTCCAATATTTTACTTGCTACAAGTGATGGACTTTTTACCTCTTATCTGGTAGGAACTTCCTTGAATAAAAATATAAGAAGTGTTTTTTAAGTAAAAATCTGGCTGTTTAAAGGGAGTAACTGCAGAGATGGAGTTAGATTCCTTCCATGGCCCTGATAAGGAGAACCTATTATACCTAGTAACTTACCAAGAAATTCAGCTTTTGATTAACCTGTTTTCATCAAACTCTTCAATGCTGGCAATATTTATCATGCACTAAATTTACTGTGTTTGTGTATTTTTCTAGACCTGCCAACTAAGCCTGAGAACATTTCTTGCGTCTTCTACTATAGGAAAAATTTTACTTGCACCTGGAGTCCAGAGAAAGAAGCTAATTTTATATCATACACAGTCAGGAGAACTCTGTGAGTATGGGAGCTTGTGTGCCATCAGGGGGAGTAAGGGGAGGACGCAGAGGTTCCCACTTTAACTCATGACTCAAGTCGCTTAGACAGCAAAATGTTTTCTCAATTATAGCTTCTAGATAACCATTATTTGCATCCGGTGGCTGGGGTGATATCTTGGTTATTTGCAACCATACTGATAGGATCTACAGCTAAGAGGGTAGGGAGGATGCTTGTATAACCATGACACAATATTACCCTGTTGGCCATTTTTGCACTCTATGATAACCATGGAAAACCCTGAGATCCTTTCTGCTTTCAAAATTCCATGATTCTATATTTCTGTATGTTCAGTCTCTGCTCCCTCACCCCTGCCTTTACAAATCCTTACAAAGTGGGCCCCCTCTTCTGGTCTCAGCCGGTTTCATCTCCCACATAGTCCCTAGAGGGCTATAGCAATACCCACCTACTTGATTCCTACCAATATATGTAGCTGTTTTCATTAGGTTATAGCTTGATAGGGTTTAAGTTATCTATCTAAGAAAATAATTGTAATGAGTTTTCTGAAAACAGTGTACACCAGTGGCAAAAAATTCAATCTGAAAAATATGAAGAATATAAAAAATCACCCAAAATCCCACCACCAAAGGTAACAATTTTTAACATTTTGATGAAGGCCTTTCTAGACAACTTTAAGAAGAGTTATGTAAATATGTAAGTTCATATTAATGTAATCATTATTTATATAATATGCATCTTGCTTTTTTTCACCATTAATAGAGTACCAGGCATCTTTCCCTATCAATAAATATAGTTGTATTAAAAACCATCATTTTAAATTCTATTTATGTATCTACTGTAATTTATTTAACAAATTCTTTTTACTTTTTTCTTTTAAGAATAAGTTCTCAAGATTAGAATCTGAGATTTTCAAGAGCCTATTCATTATTTCTTACCATTAGGAAATATGACTGTAACTTTTGATGGACTTACAAGATTCCCAGGGAGATCTCCATGGTAACTTTTCTCTCTCCTTGAAGGTGAGGAAGGAATCTGGAGAGAGAAACATCAGTTTCTGGACTATACAGTTCTCAAGAGAGACCCAGAAGGAAGCTACCAAATACATGCTTAATATATTAAATATGCTTATGTTTCTAATCTGCTGTACTAAACTAATGCTGAATCATTTTTTCCTTCAAAGGTGTTATTTACATGAAAATGATACTTGTAATTCTACAAGTGAAAATGGTTCTTCATGCTCTTTTTATTCAAGATTAACACCACCAGATATTTACATTATTCAAGTGGAGGCTCAAAATGCATACGGTATAATTAAATCTGATATAACATATTGGGACTTAAATACCATAAGTAAGTGTCACTTTATATTCTTATGTACTTTTTAAATTAAAATATGCCCTCTTCTTTTTTTAAAAAGAGATATCTGTGAACTAAAAAGTAGATTCACAGCTCAAGCATATAGTAGGTGTATGTTATGGATATATGGAAAATTTGTCTTCTTTTGAAGAAGGAAAAGAGAGGGAGGGTCAGAGGGAAGATGAAAGGAAAGAAGGAGGAATTGACCAAAAAAAAAAAAAAAGTGAATGAGAAGAAACATTTTGCTGGTCCTTGATTTTCTCTTGCAGTTTGTACCATAAATTATATTAGAAGAAACAGTGTTTCTCCTTCAAAACATTATTGCTCCTGTAGGAGAAAGTAAAACTCTTATTTTAAAAAATATCTCACTGATTGTTACCTTTTAAATTCTTTTTCAAAGAGTAATTTTTACTGTTTAATTTTTTTTAATTTTTTATTTTTTTTCATTTATTTTTATTAGTTGGAGGCTAATTACTTTACAATATTGTAGTGGTTTTTGCCATACATTGACATGAATCAGCCATGAATTTAAATGTATTCCCCATCCCGATCCCCCCTCCCGCCTCCCTCTCCATCCCATCCCCCTGGGTCTTCCCAGTGCACCAGCCCCGAGCACTTGTCTCATGCATCCAACCTGGGCTGGTGGTCTGTTTCACCCTTGATAGTATACTTGTTTCAATGCTGTTTAATTTTAAAATAATATCATTTGTGAGATATAATCCACATGTGATTAGATTCACCTTTTTTGTTAATTTATTTATTTTTAACTGGAGGATAATTGCTTTACAATATTGTGTTGGTTTTTGCCATACCTCAACATGAATCCGCCATAGGTATACATATGTCCCCTTCCTCTTGAACCTCCATCCCATCTCCCACTCCAAAGATTCACAGTTTAAAAATGACAGTTCACCAGTTTTTAAAAATCATATTCACAAAGTTACACAAATATCATCAGGATCTAGTTCCAGAAACTTTTCATCACCCCTCAAAGAAACTTCATGCCCATTAACAGAAATCCTTAATTCCACCTTCCCCTTGGTCTCTGGCAGTCACTAATCTATTTTTCTGTCTTTATGGATTTACTTATTTTTGAAAATTCATATAAATGTAATGATACAGTATAGTCCTTGTATCTTATTTCTTTCACAGCATAATGTTGTAAAGGTTCAATCCATCTTGTAGCATTTATTCCTTTTTATAGCTGAATAATAATCCATCATAGGGATGTATCACATTATGTTTAACCACACGCTGGTTGATAAGACGTTTGAGTTGTTTCCACTTTTTGGTTATGAATGCTGCAATTACAAATATTTGTGTACAAATTTTTGTGTAGATATAGGCTTCAATTCTCTTAGATATATACATAATGAAATTGCTGGGTCATATAACTCAGTCTTTAACTTTTTGAGGAACTGCCAAATTTTACCAAAACAGCTGTATCATTTCACATTCCCACCAGCAATTTATAAAGTTACTAGCTTCTCCGTATCCTCGCCAACACTAGTTATTGCACTTTTTTTATCATAACCATCCTAGTGGGTATTAGGGGACTTCCCCGAAGGGTATTACATCATACCTCACTGTTGTGATTTGCACTTACCAAATAATTAATGATATTGAGCATCTTTTCATGTGCTAATTGGCCATTTGTACATCTTCTCTGGAAAAATGTTAATCCATGTATTTGCTGACTTTACAACTAAGTTGTCTTTTTAGTGTTCGATTTTAAGAGCTCTTGTTGCAAGGATCTACTCTGCAGCATGTGAGATCTTAGTTCCCTACTAGGGATCAGCCTGAGCCCCCTGCAGTGGGAGAGTGAGGCTTAATCACTGGGCTGCCAGGGAAGTTTGAGTTCTTTATATATTCTGGGTATCAGCTCCTTATAAGATATGTTTTGCACATATTTTCTTTCTTCCTGTGGGTTACGTTTTCAATTTCTGAATGATGTCCTTTGAAACTAAAACATAATTTAATTTTGATGATTTTATTATAATTTATCTATTTTTTCCTTTATTGCTTGTGCTCAGGAGTCAGAACTAATAAACTAGTGCCAAACCTGAGGTCACAAAGATTTCTACTCTGTTTTCTTTTAAAGACTGTAGTTTTAGCTCTTACATTTAGTTCTATGATCCTTTCTGAGTTAATTTTTAAGCAAAATTAACAAACTGTATTCCTGAAATAAATCTCACATGGTTGTAAGTGTATAATGCTCTCTATACGTTGCTGAATTTGGATTGATAGTTTTTTTTATTGAGGACTTTTCCTTCTATCTTCATAGGGGATATTGGTCTGTTGCTTTCTTTTCTTGTGATGTATTTGTCTGTTTTTGGCATCATGGAAATACTGGCCTCATAGAATGGGTTGGAAAGTGTTTCCTGGTCCTGTTTTTTGAAAAAGTTACAGGGATCAAGACCATCCGCAAGAAAAAGAAATGCAAAAGAGCAAAATGGCTGTCTGAGGAGGCCTTCAAATAGCTGTGTATAGAAGAGAAGTGAAAAACAAAGGAAAAAAGGAAAGATATACCCATTTGAATGCAGAGTTCCAAAGAATAGCAAGGAGAGATAAGAAAGCCTTTCTCAGTGATCAATGCAAAGAAATATAGGAAAACAATAGAATGGGAAAGTCTAGAGATCTCTTCAATAAAATTAGAGATACAAAGGGGACATTTCAGGCAAAGATGGGCACAATAAAGGCCAGAAATGGTATGGACCTAACAGAAACAGAAGATATTAAGAAGAGGTGGCAAGAATACACAGAAGAAATGTACAAAAAATATCTTCACGACCCAGATAATCATGATGGTGTAATCACTCACCTAGAGCCAGACATCCTGGAATGTGAAATCAAGTGGGCGTTAGGAAGCATCACTATGAACAAAGCTAGTGGAGGTGATGGAATACCAGTTGAGCTATTTCAAATCCTGAAAGATGATGCTGTGAAAGTGCTGCACTCAATATGCCAGCACATTTGGAAAACTCAGCAGTGGCCACAGGACTGGGAAAGGTCCATTTTCATTCCAATTCCAAAGAAAGGCAACGCCAAAGAATGCTCAAACTACCGCACAATTGCACTCATCTCACATGCTAGTAAAGCAATGCTCAAAATTCTCCAAGCCAGGCTTCAGGAATACGTGAACCGTGAACTTCCAGATGTTCAAGCTGGTTTTAGAAAAGGCAGAGGAACCCGAGATCAAATTGCCAACATCCAATGGATCATCGAAAAAGCAAGAGAGTTCCAGAAAAACATCTATTTCTGTTTTATTGACTATGCCAAAGCCTTTGACTGTGTGGGTCAGAATAAACTGTGGAAAATTCTTCAAGAGATGGGAATACCAGACCACCTGACCTGCCTCTTGAGAAACCTGTATGCAGGTCAGGAAGCAACAGTTAGAATGGGACATGGAACAACAGACTGGCTCCAAATAGGAAAACGGGTATGTCAAGGCTGTATATTGTCACCCTGCTTATTTAACTTATATGCAGAGTACATCATGAGAAGCGCTGGGCTGGAAGAAGCACAAGCTGGAATCAAGATTGCCGGGAGAAATATCAATAACCTCAGATATGCAGATGACACCACCCTTATGGCAGAAAGTGAAGAAGAACTAAAGAGCCTCTTGATAAAAGTAAAAGAGGAGAGTGAAAAAGTTGGCTTAAAGCTCAACATTCAGAAAACTAAGATCATGACATCTGGTCCCATCACTTCATGGCAAATAGATGGGGAAACAGTGGAAACAGCAGCTGACTTTATTTGGGGGCTCCAAAATCACTGCAGATGATGATTGCAGCCATGAAATTAACAGACACTTGCTCCTTGGAAGGAAAGTTATGACCAGCCTAGACAGCATATTAAAAAGCAGAGCCATTACTTTGCAACAAAGGTCCATCTAGTCAAGGCTGTGGTTTTTCCAGTGGTCATGTATGGATGTGAGAGTTGGACTATAAAGAAAGTTGAATGCAGAAGAACTGATGCTTTTGAACTGTGGTGTTGGAGAAGACTCTTGAGAGTCCCTTGGACTGCAAGGAGATCCAACCAGTCCATCCTAAAGGAGATCAATCCTGGGTGTTCATTGGAAGGACTGATGTTGAAGCTGAAACTCCGATAATTTGGCCACCTGATGAGAAGAGCTGATTCATTTGAAAAGACCCTGATGCTGGGAAAGATTGAGGGCAGGAGGAGAAGGGGACGACAGAGGCTGAGATGGTTGGATGGCATCACCCACTCAATGGACATGAGTTTGGGCAAACCCCAGGAGTTGGTGATGGACAGGGAGGCCTGGCGTCCCATGGTTCATGGGATCGCAAAGAGTCAGACACAACTGAGTGACCGATCTGAACTGACCTGAACTGAAAGATCAGTGGTAATTTGTCTTTAAACCTCTGGTACATCTCAGCAGTGTAGGTATCTGGGCCTCAGATTTTCTTTTTGTGAAGTGTTTTGACTTGGGTTTCTTTCAAAAACATTTTTAGGAACTCCCTTTGGAAGGCTTACATCACACTGCTAACATTGGCTCTACCTCTTGACAATGGACCTGAAAGGGGCAAGGTTTTTAACTTCTTAAACACAAACTTTTATTTTATTATTATCTTTACTTTCTTAAAATGAACATATATTACTTTAGTAATAATGTAAATTGATGGAAAACAGTATTAAAGTTCAAAAAAAAAATTAAGACTACAACTACCATGTTAAAAATACAACTACCAAATTAAAAATACAACTACCAGCAATTCCAATTCTGGTATTATCTAAATAGGATCTTATTAGGATCTTAAAGAAATACTTGCATTTCCATGTTGATTGCAATATTATTCACAATAGCCAAGATATAGAAACAGCCTAAATGCCCACCAACAGAGTCATGAAGAAAGAAATTGTGCTATATATATATACACTGCAATTACTGTAGCTATTTTGGAAAGCAAAATGACATTTTGTAGAAAGTAGCCCTAAAAATGTTTATGTTGTTGTTGTTTGTTGTTTAGTCACTAAGTCATGTCCAGCTTGCAACCCCATGGACTGTAGCCCGCCAGGCTCCTCTGTCCATGGGATTCTCCAGGCAAGAATGCTGGAGTGGGTTGCCCTTTCCTTCTGCAAGGGATCTTCCCAACCCAGGGATCAAACCCACATCTGCACTGGCAGGTGGGTTCTTTACCACTGAACCACCTGGGAAGCCCCAAAATGTTTATACCTTTTAATTTAATCCTTCTGTTCTAGGGGATCTAAGGAAGCCATGAGAGATGTGGACAAAGATACAACTATTATCCACTTACGTGTTCACTTAACAAATATCTGTAATTTGTTAAGTGCCAAGTGTTAATCCAAGGCCTTGTGATCAAGTCTCAGCTTCTGTTCTCAGGGGGGCTTTAAAACGAGAAATTGGAAACACTATGTACACTAATAGAGAAAGTGTCAAATTCTATTCCTCTGTAAGAGAATATTATGAAGCTTTGAATACATGTTTTGAAAAATTTTAATGCAAAGGGATGTTTGCTGATTTCATAATGTTTTTCAAAAAGACAAAAGATTTATTTAGCATAACATCAATTTTGTTTTAAAAAATACAAATTCTTATATAGGAAAAAGCCTGGAAATACACCAAAATGCTAATCAGGATGATCTCTGGTTGATGGCAAGGAGGACATGGCAACCCACTACAGTATTCTTGGCTGGGGAATCCCATGGACAGAGGAGCCTGGCGGGCTACAGTCCATGGGGTCACAAAGAATCAGACATGACTGAAGCAACTTAACATGCATGCTGGTTGATAGAATTATGGTTGACTATGCTTTTCTTTGTAGTTTTTCTATATTTAAAAAATTTGGGGAGGACTTCCCTGATGGTCCAGTGGTCAAGACTCCGCCTTCCAATGCAGGGAGCGTGGGTTCGATCCCTGGACAGGGAACTAGATCCTACAAGCTACAACTATGAGTTCTCATGCTGCAACTCTGCAACTTAGACCTGGCACAACCAAATAAATACATTTAAATAAATAATTTTTGAAATGAGCCTATGTTACTTTTATAAACCCCCCTCCCCTCCCCACACACACACTTTTTCAAGGAGAGATTTAGGGTGAGAATGTTTGTAGTGTTCAGGGGAGATGAGAGGTACTTTCTACTGGGCACTTCTTCATCCTGGGGGTCAAAGAAAGAGAGATGCGGAGAACAGACAAGAGGAACAACCTATTCTCTGGTCATAGAGTTTCTTTTTACCTCCCTTCTGTTTGACAAAAGATCTCAACCAGTCAGTAGAAGGCTGATTTGTAAAAAAAAAAAAAACAAAAAAAACACAAAAGCACAGAAATATAGCCTCTCCTCCCTGGGCATTCTCTTGAAGGAGTGGGAGGTGGCAGCATTCTTTTTGTCCTGCTTTCCTAAAGCCTTGTGCATACACTAAATCATGAAATATGCACCATCATTTCCTTTGCAACTCTGGGTGGATGTTATTAGCACTTTCTGGTCTTTGTGCAAATACAAGAACTGTATGATTTTTATTTTCAGCTAAAATCGAGCCTCCTAAGATTTCCAGTGTGAAACCAGTTTTGGGCCTTGAAAAAATGGTTCAAATAAAATGGACACAGCCTGTGTTGGCACCTAAGTCATCTACTTTAAATTATACACTTCGATTCAGAGCAGTAAATAGTACCCACTGGGTAAGTTATGCCATTATAATGTTTCTCAGAGAATTATTGATGTTTGTTGATGTGGAATCATTTTTTCTATTTTCTACATTTAAAATAGAAGATAGACAATAGTGAATACTTTTCTCCCCAGTTTCCCATTTGGGCCTTTTAGATTGGATAAGTGTTTTACTATATGCATCTTGCATTCTGAACATAGGGGCATACAAAAAAGTGAGAAATTTATTTTTGCATTTCATTCTGTTTTGTGTCTAGCTACGTTGGTTCTTGAGAGTATAGCTTGGGAATTTCCTTTTAAATTGTTCTAAACTTTGTGATCTATAACACATATTTAGAAAAGTGAACAAAATATAAATATTGCATCTAACAAATTATTAAGTCAGTGTGCATGTAAAAACCACTGAGGTAAAAAATAACATGCGATAGCCCCCTGCCTACCTTTTTCTGATGACACACCCCTCCTGCCTTTAGAACTAATGATTATCCTAATTTTCACGGTAATTTCTTCTTTGCTTTTTATTATGGTATTACCACGTAGGCCTGCATCCCTAAACAATGTAGTTTGAGATGGTATGTAAATGGAATCCACATACTTTGTATTTTCTTTATGTTTGACTCCTCTCTCTCAATATTGTGCTTTAAAGATCCATTCATGTTTTACAGTGTTTGAGTTTATACATTTTTATTCCAGTGTAGTCTTCTGTTGCATGTACACAATGGAATCATGGCTTTAATTTGCATTTACCTGACTTTTAATGAGATTGTATGTCTTTTCATGTATTTCTTGGTCACTTGGAATCCTTCTTTGTGAAGTATTGATTTAAGCCTTTTGCACACTTTTTTTCTGTTGGAAGATCTGATTTTTTAATTGACTTATAGGAGTTACTTACATATTCTGTTTATGGGTCTTTTATTTTTTATGTGTCTTGTAAACATCTCTCACTATGCAGCTTGCCTTTTCACTTTCTTAATGGTAAATTTAGAGGAACATAACTTCTTAATATGAATACTGTCAAATTTTATCAAGCTTTTCCTTTATATTTATTGTCTTTTGCATCCTGAGAAATATTTTCTTACCTCAAAATTCAGAAATAATTATCATATTTCCATAATGCAGTCTGATATTATATCAACTTTCTATTTCTAACCAACTTACATTATTGACTCTTAGCTTCCAGCCAATTAAATCATTTAAATCTTTAAGACTTCCCCCCCCCCAACACACAAAAGATTTTCTAGTAAGAACATTTCCACTGTCTTATAACTTATCCCTTTTTAACCTAAAATGCTGATGTTTTATTTATTCCTATTGAATTTCTTCAGGTTGGTCTTATCCATCATTTTGGCCTATTAAGAATCTTTATTCTATTACCCAAAGCTTGTAGTTAATTTTCTACTTTATAACTTTTCAATAAACCTTAGAGTTAACTTTTTACTTTCTAATTTTTTTTAATATCTTCAGATTTGATAACATTTTTATACCTTCATCTAATCATTGATCAAAAAGAATGACTACATCAGAGCCCATCCAAAGATATCAGCCTCTCCTTTGTGCTAAAAGAAGCTCATTTACTCAAGCTTCTTTGAATATAGAAGACCACCACAATCATTCAGCCTGCTTTTTTCATCTTGGCCATGAGGCCATCACTAGACTTTTTCCTTTATTGAAGTCATGGTACTATATCTATTGCATCCTCCACTAGACTAGAATTCTTGCAGAAAAGAAAACTGGTTAAGTTTCGCTTGTCTTATATTCAAGTCAAGAGAAATAATGAGTTCACTCTTCCTCTCAGCTTCTTTTCTGTGCCAACTCTGGATCCATTCTCCTAGAACTGACTATATGAACATAAGGCTCACTGATTGGTAGTTTCTGGAACCCAGAAAGGAACCCCTACGTAGGGCACTCCCCAGCACAACATAAGCTCATCTTCATACCACATAACATGGGCTCAGTGAATCTGAGGAACTTCTGTGTGATCTACTGTCTAGCAATGCTTGGTTTCTTTTGTCTGATCCCAGAGTCCTGTGACTACTTTACAAAATCCAACAAGAAAAAGAAGCCAGGAGCTATATTCCTCTGGAAAATTACTAAACCATTTACAATACTAAGTGAGGGCAGCACATGCAAACTACTTCAATCCCTAGCATCCTGTACCCCACATCTTTGAAAAACTTACCTGCATCTGTACTCATCTTTGCCTCCTTCCTTCCAACCCCTTGGAAGGAAGAGGTCCTTCCTCCTGCTAACCTGGAGAAAGTGGGAAGGAGAGTGGAATGTACAACCAGAATCTCTCTCCTTTCAGTTCTCAAACACAACCAAGTCTAATCAGTTCTAAATCCAACTAAACCAATCCAGTCTTCTCTGGATGGTTCTCATCCCATTGTCAATGGAAAAAGGTCTAAATTCTTAACCCTCCAAGGCCTGGCCCCTATCAACCCCTCCAAACTCACCTTCCATCTTGCTCTTGCTTCTCTAGTAGTTCTGAATTGCGTTTCCCTTGTGTCATGTCATTTCATTATTCTGTGCTTCTGCCTAGAACAGCTCTCTGCTTTGTACCTCTCCTCTTGGCCTAAACCTTGCTAGAGCCACTCATCTCTCAGAACTCTGGTCTGACATATTTTCTTCTGGGAGTCTGAGATAGGTACTCCTCCTCTGTCATTGCACTTAACATAGTCACTTAAGCTCATCTCTCCCCATATTTAATGACAAGTTTCTCAAACACAGAGACCTTGATTTTCATCTTAGTATTCTCATTGCCTGCCACATGTGCTCAATAAATGTTTAATTAAACTAAACCACATAAAAACCAATTCCAAAATCCCAATATGTTCATATAACAAGACTCATATTTGTGTGATGCTAATATATGGGCTTGCTTCCCAGGTGGCTCAATGGTAAAGAATCCTACTTGCCAGTGCAGGAACTGCAGGAGACTTGTTTTCAATTCCAGGGTTGGAAAGATCCCCTGGAGGAGGAAACGGCAACCCACTCCAATATTCTTGCTGTGATAATCCCATGGACAGAGGAGTTTGGTGGGCTACAGTCCATGGGATTGCAAAGAGTTAAATATGACTGAGTGACTGAGCACCCATGCACACAATATATGGGTTACAGAGTGCTTTTTTATACTCCAAGCTACTTAATCCTTGCAAATATCCTATAAATTGTTGTTGTTTAGTTAATAAGTTGTGTCTGACTCTTTGCAATCCCATGGACCATAGTCTGCTCGGCTTCTCTTTCCATGGGATTTCCCAGGCAAGAATGTTGTTGTTCATTCGTTCTGTCATGCCCGACTCTCTCCAACCCCACGCGACTGCAGCACGCCAGGGTTCCTGGTTCTTCACCATCTCCCAGAGTTTGCTCAAACACATGTCCATCGAGTCGGTGATGCCATCCAACCATCTCATCCCCTGTCACCCCTTCTCCTCCTGTCCTCAGTCTTTCCCAGCATCAGGATTTTTTCCAATGAGTAGGCTTTTCACATTAGGTGGCCAAAGTACTGGAGCTTCAGCTTCAGTATCAGTCCTTCCAATGAATATTCAGGGTTGATTTTCTTTCAGATTGACTGGTTTGATCTCCCTGCTGTGAAGGAACTCTCAAGAGTCTTCTCTAGCACCACAGTTCAAAAGCATCAATTCTTCAGTGCTCAGCCTTCTTTATGGTCCAATTCTCACATCCATATGTGACTACTGGGAAAACATAAGCAAGAATACTAGTGTGGTTTACCAATTCCTTCTCCAGGAGATCTTCCCAACCCAGGGATTGAAACTGTGTCTCCTCCATTGGGAGGTTGATTCTTTACCACTGAGCCACCTGGGAAACCCCTCCTATAAATAAGATATCACTATTCTTCTCATTGTTGTTGTTGTTTAGTCAGTAAGTTGTGTCCAACTCTTTGTGACCCCACGGACTGTAGACCACCAGGCTCCTCCTCCTTGGGATTTCCCAGGCAAGAATACTGGAATGAGTTGCTATTTCCTTCTTCTGGGGATCTTCCTGACACAGGAATCAAACCCACATCTCCTGCATTTGCAGGTGAATTCTTTACCACTGAGCCACCAGGGAAGCCCTGTTGTTATTACAGATTAGTAAATTGCAATGCATTGGAGAAGGAAATGGCAACCCACTCCAGTATTCTTGCCTGGAGAATCCCAGGGATGGGGAGCCTGGTGGGCTGCCATCTATGGGGTCGCACAGAGTTGGACATGACTGAAGTGACTTAGCAGTAGCAGTAGCAAATTGCAATGTAGAGCACTTTGGTCATCTGTCCAAGATTTGTAGGTTACAGAGTTGAGCTCAGGTTTTGTGATGCCAAGTTCAGTCATTCATTTAGCCTCCAAACCACCTTCCCATGGCCGTAGTATAAAGGGTTTCTACTTTTATAAAAGGGAACCATATGAACACTCTACCAAAGGATTTCAATACTGTTTTAAGAATTTGATTTAGGCTCTGCTCCAAAATTTCTGACTCATCTCTTAAGATATAAACACTTGGGATAATCTAGGACTTGGCACAAAATATAGGTTGCTAGAAACAAAACTGGTGGTTAATTACTGTTTTGGTAGGAGTCCATTGCTTGTTCTGAGTTCAGGGATTTTTAGATTTAAGCCTGTATATGGAGGATCAATTGGTCTTGGATCCAGTGAGGACCAAAGCCATATAGCCTGGAAAAAAGTCACAGTAAAGAAGCCTTAGAGGAGCACTCTTTGGAACTTTAATTGCATTTTTTTACTGCCCTGAGGCTGGGTCTGGGAAGAACAGGTTTGCACAGGTACAGTAAAGAGAGCTTTCTAATTGTGAGGAGACCCAACAAGAGACCAAGCATATGCTGAGGGTACTAGCAAAACAGGAGGAAAATTTTGAGATATTAAAAATAGAAGAAGAATATTATGTATTTTAAAAAGCATGAAAAGTAAAATAGAATGTCATTAGACTTCCTTACATGTGTTTTATGGATTAATATTGTTTTTATTTTGATTTACGCATGGAGAGTACCATGTGGTTGACCTTCTCTCAAAGGTCTTAATCTGGTTTTAACTGAGCCCCATAACTGAGGTCGGTTGGGGAGGCTGCTTCCCCAGAGATGACAAATTGTCCCAAGATATGTTCCCAACAGCCCTGTTCTACCACTGCAATGTCTCCAGGGCCTTTTGCAGGAAGGTGCTCAGGGAACCTGGGGTTCAGCAGCAAAATTGCCCTCAGGCCTGGATGCTGCTTCCTTGCTCTGATGCCATCTCACTAGACTGGGAGTTCAGAACCGTCCATCTGCAGCTGGGATGCTCAGGTGTTGGCCACGTAGACACATCCTGATTTTGCCCCAATTTCCTTTAGGCCCAGCCCCTATAATTGTGTACCTATTTTCACAGTTGTTGTTGTACACATAAGTGATATCAGGACTTCCTATTCTTGCCAGAGTCTATGGGCTGTGTGCATCCTCACAAAGTAGTCATGTCTGTAAGTACAGTTTATTTTCATTAATAAGCTCAATATAACTTTATATAAACCTACAGCTAAAAGTTCATGTTGCAGCAACAATGATCATGCTCAGTAAGACATAGCTGAATTTCTACTTTCTTGTGGAGAGTTAAGTCCAGAGGGACTCTATAGAAAGCAACACACTCATTAGCTCACAAGGAAACTGAGGTCTAGAAAGGGGAGGTGGTTTATTTGCCTCTCCCTGTTCTGCACATTGAGAGAGTGTCAAAATGAATTTATGTATCTAGGATACTGAGATCTTTAGCAACTTGACTGATCACTCAAAGACCAATCATTTGAAATGGGAAGTTTGAATAAAAGGAAAGAGTCTGGGTGTGAGGGGATCTGTGCTCGGATCCTAGTTCTGCTGATTATAAATGCTGAGGTAGTCCATAATCACTTAACTTGTCTGGGTTTTGTTCATGACATGAGTTTGAACTTAATGTTGTCAAGGTGTCTTTTACATACTGTTCCTTGAGATCTTATCTCTAGGTATTGTTGTTATCTCCAGAAATTAAACTGAGGCCTGTATTGGGTGCCAGGACTCCATCCACCCTGCATCTTCCAGGACAGCAAGATTCACTCACATCCAGCCCAGAGGCAGGAATATCTACCTCACAAGCTTAGAAACAAGAAAGGGGATGGGTGGTGGTTCTTGGGGTAACACCTCTATTTGATGCTAACATTCTCCAAGCATGTGTAGAAGTTTATTTATGAAAATTTAAAAATTTGAAATATAATGCTACTAGTTCAGAAAGGTAAGAGAGGGTTGGGGAGTAAAGAAGAAACATGGAAAGATAACATGTGGTCTCCCATCCAGCTTAAGGCTGTCTTTGTCTTCTAGATGGAAGTCAACTTCACCAAAAGCTGTGTGAATGAAGAAGAAGCATATAACCTCACAGGGCTGCAGGCTTTTACAGAGTACGTTGTGGCTCTGCAATGTGTGGCTCACAAGTCAAGGTTCTGGAGTGGCTGGAGTCAAGAAAAAATGGGAATAACTATGGAAGAAGGCAAGTTGGTTCCTTGTGGTTTCTTTTTTGCCTGCTCTGGTTTAGGGCGAACTGAACTGAGCCCTTGTGGATTTTGTCAAGTACTTTGCCATACTTGGGAATCATGGAATTCCACAATCCCAGAGCTAGAGATTCTGTACAGTGCCCCTCCACAGGACATGCATGGCACATGCTGAGCCTACAGGATAAGCTGGCCTTCCCCTGATGATGTTAGTGACATTAGCAGCTTTTTGCCTTGAAGGCAAATGACCATATCTTGAATACTTGTATAAAGTTCGTATACTATGCTTGAAATAGTATAATATTATTTACAGATGTCCTATGATAAGTTAAAGATTGATGTTGCAAACCCTTAGCTACTGCTAAAAAATAAAGGTATAACTAATGAGAAAAAAGGTCACATCTTTAATTATAGTGAAGGAAGGAAGGAGAAGAGGATTGCACCTTGATTGAATGGTTACCATGAGTCAGGAATGGTAATTAGGAACACTATTGGGTTGGCCAAAATGTTCATTTGAGTTTTTCTATAACGTCTTACAGAAAAATTGGAATGAACTTTTTGGCCAACCTAATCTGTGGGCTTGTTATGAAATCCAGCCTGGCTGTGGAGTAACTTTGGGCAAGATACCCACCCTCTAAGAGTCAGTCTCCTTACTAATTTTTCGCCTTTTCCATAATGAACTGTAATTCATAAAATTGAGTTAATAGTAGTACCTACTTTTTAGTATTATTTTAAAGATTAAATGAAATAATTGTGTTTAGCCCATAATCAACATTCAGTAATTGACAGATTTCCTATCAGTGTTATTAATTCTCCTAAGAGCCCTATAAAATATGTAGAGTCACTTCCATTTGCAAGTGAGATAGCTGAGATGTTAATTTGTTCGTTGTCACTCAGAATGTTACCATGCTCTATAAATCAAGAGCCTTACCCAGAGCCTGACCCCAGTAGACGTTCAAGAAGTGTTTGATGAATGTGTTCGTTTCCTGTGGCCACTGTAACAAAGTGTGGGTGTGTGTGTGTGCTCAGCTGCTCAGTCATATCTGTCAGTCATATCTGACTCTTTGCGACCCCATGGACTATAGCGTGACATTCTCTTCTGTCCATGTAATTTTCCAGGTGAGAATACTGGAGCAGGTTGCCATTTCCTACTCCAGGGGATCTTCCCAACCCAGAGACCCAACTCCCCTCTCTTGTGTCACCTGCATTGGCAGGTGGATTCTTTGCCACTGTGCCACCTGGGAAGCCCGCAACTTTTTTTTCTTTTCTAGTTCTAGAATTCAAAGGTCCAAAATCAGTTTCATTGGACTAAAGTCAAAGTGTTGGCACAGTTGGAGATCTTGAAGGGAGAATATATTTTCTTGCCTTTTCTATCTTCTAGTAGCTGTCTGTATTCCTTGGTTTGCGGCCCCTTCCTATGAAGAAAGCATATTACTCCAGTCTCTGCTTCTGTCATCACATTACCATTTTCTCCTCTTCCGTGTCAAATCTGTCTGCTTCCTTCTTGTAATGACCATTGTGATAACTTTTAGGGCCCACTGGGATAATCCAAGATAATCTCCCCATCTCAAGATCCTAACCCAATCACATGTGCAAAGTCCCTTTGGCCATAAAAGGTAACGTTTATAGGTGATAAGAGATTTGTACTTAGATTTTGTGGCTTCATTTTTCAACCTAATACAGTGAATGAATGACTAATTAAATGAATACTTATCAAAGGCCACACATCTTCTGAAATATGTAAGAGAAACAGAAAAATGCTGATCATTCTAACCTTCTGAGGTTTTAACTTTGTTTATGAGACATGTAAGTTCTAGACCATGAATTTCCCCTCACCCCACCCCGGGCATGATTTCAGGCCCTTTTTAATCAATCTTACAACAAGTCCCTCACTGATCTTATGCAACATGTGGGGTCAGCTCCTGTGCTCCCTGGTCTATATGGCAAAAGTGTATTCCCCTGGATCCTGGTTGAGTTTCCCATGAGACCCAAGTTAGTGTTAACAGATATTTGGCATGTTTGCCCATATGATCATATGCCTGGGAATAATCAGGTGCCTTCTGAATTTTGTATCTCCCACTGGAAATGTTCATGCTTAGTCTGGACTACTCATTGGTGGATGTAGTTACAACAAAGATTCATGTGACACACACAGAGGATTGGGCTGGATGGCCTCTGAAGTCCCTTCTTACTCTAAGATTCTATTCACCTATGGCATTCAGGCATCCAGGCTTCCATGCTCAACTGTAAGAATACAGGAAAAAGTAACACAAAATTTCTAATCCCTATGTGTTTATATGCTTAGAACAGTGCCCTACAAATGGTAAGTGCTATATAAATTTTAAATAAATAAAAATACATGCATGATTCAAACAAAACTAGTCAAGTTGTGGACCTAGTGTGAATTTTTGATTAAAATTATATGCAGTATTTGGGAACACTGTATAGACATCATCTTAAATAATCCTCAGACGGTAAAGTGTCTGCCTACAATGCAGGAGACCTGGGTTCTATCCCTGGGTCGGGAAGATCCCCTGGAGAAGGAAATGGCAACCCACTCCAGTACTCTTGCCTGGAAAATCCCACGGACAGAGGAGCCTGGTAGGCTACAGTCCATGGGGTTGCCAAGATTCGGACATGACTGAACAACTTCACTTTCACTTTCAAAACAAATATGCTGCTGCTGCTGCTGCTGCTAAGTCACTTCAGTCGTGTCCAACTCTGTGCAGCCCCATAGACGATAGCCCACCAGGCTCCTCTGTCCCTGGGATTCTCCAGGCAAGAACACTGGAGTGGGTTGCCATTTCCTTCTCCCAAAACAAATATACTAGTTTACAAATACCAAACAGCACTTAAATTGTACAATATAAAATGACCCAATGGTTATAATCTGTTGGAGTGCTCAGTTATTGCTGTCTGTGGCTTGACTGACCCCTATCTTTTAAAATATTAGAACGAAATGCAAGCAATATCCTTGTGCAAGTTGTCCTCTCCCTCTGCTATACCTTTCAGCAGGCAATCTGGGAGAGTGAGTTCTACCCTGGGTTTGATCTTGTTTTGTACAGTTCTATTCCCTGTAGCTGTCATTCTTCTTAGAGACCTAACATCGTTATGGTTCACTGTCTTAAGTTCATCACAGTCCAACCACTTGCTAATGTCAATTTCATACACTTGTTTCACCACTAGAAATGAGATTTACCATTTCAACTGATTTATTATTTCAGCTTGCTTGTCTAAGATTGACTACAAAACATTAGATGCTAGTGTCCTCTGTGCCCTGTGCTAGTTAAATAAAATGAACATCTGTCAACATTACCACTGGACAATTTTTACTTTTCTTAATTTTTTCAGAATCCCAGAAGAAACTAATGAAACTGTACCCACCCCTGGCAAATCCTAATTTATCCTTTTCTAATTTATAAAGTGTTTCCCTGTTTCACAATGAAATGCCAGCTGTTTTATACACACCACCTCAAACCTTTTCTAATGTGAAAATCTCTGTTTTAAGTTGAATACGAAGTACTCTTCCCTTTTGCATTTCAATATATTGATTATTAGGATTATTTACTCACATTTAAGCATATAAATATATACTACATGAAACATGCATACTACATGAAACAGCGATTCATTAGAAAAGACCCTGACACTGGGGAAGATTTAAGGCAAAAGGAGAAGAGGGCAGCAGGGGATGAGATGGCTGGATCACATCAACTCAATGGACATGAACTTGGGCACACCTCGGGAGACAGTGAGGGACAGGGAGGCCGGGAGTGCTGCAATCCTTTGGATTGCAAAGAGTCAGGCATGACTTAGTAATTGAACAGCAACAGGAAACATATAATATTCAATTCCTGGCGCCATTACTTAAAAGTTATATTGGGCAATTTTCTCACTTCTTAGCACCTCAGAGGAGGAAATAGTAATATTGATGTACCTAATTATAGGCCTGTGGAGGTTAGATGAGATGATTCAGGTAAAATGCTTAGTATGTGACACTTGCTAAAAGTGAGCTATTCTTAGTGTTAGTCTTCAGCAAAGGCAGCAGAATGTGTCTAAAGTGCTGATTGGTGGTGACTGTGAGTATTTCCAGATTGTAACTGGAACAACAGAGCAGCAAATTCTTACTACATCTGTCCAAACAGTTGATGCCTTGGAATATGTAAACTCCAATATGTAATTGGAGAAGGAAATGGCAACCCACTCCAATATTCCTTGCCTGGAGTATCCCATGGACAAAGGAACCTGGAGGGCTACAGTCCACGGGGTTGCAAGAGTTGGACATGACTTAGCAACTAAACCACCACCACCAATATGTAAATATTTTGGCAAATTTGTAAAAGCTTAGTATTATTCTTTCACAAATACAGATTTATTGCTTTTCCCCATTTGGTTAAGCTGGATTATTAATTTATTCATTATCAATTTATGATCTTGGAAAACTGATGTAATAATTGTAGAAGAGGGTTTTTCAGATGGCTCAAGTGGTAAAGAATCCACCTATGAATGCAGGAGATGCAGTTTCAAACCCTAGGTTAGGAAGATCTCCTGCAGGTGGAAGTGGAAACCCACTCCAGTATTCTCGCATGAAAAATTCCATAGACAGAAGAGCCTGATGGGCTACAGTCCATGGGGTTGCAAAGAGTTGGACACAATTGAGCATGCACACATAATTGTAGAAGATTTAAATGCTAGCCATTTGCTTTACTAAAAGTCACGTCTGTAGGAAGTCTACATCAGAAAGACTGTTTCTCTTTGAAACACATCTGCAGGAAATAGTGACCACAGTGAAAGAAGAAAATACCTGATTAAATTCATTCATCAGCACCATTTACTATCTACTAGAACTAAGTGGCTGCCTATGGGGTAAATCTAAGTAGAATTTTGCTCTTTCTAATCAATGACTGGAATGATTGATTATTTAATGATCAGTTTATTTTTGTTTCTGTCTATGCTTCAGATGAATATTTGGAACTGGCTTATAATGAAAACTTTGCATTTAGGTTTCTTCTTTCTTATTCTCAATATTATTATCCCAGAGTCTGACTTCCATGTAACTGGAGCAGAGAGACTCTGCGAGTAAGAGATGGATTGAGAGTCTTTCCAGTTCCGTGGGTCACCTATGAAGGTCTCATGACTTTGTAGCTTTGTGCTGAGAAGACTGTCTTCTGGGAGGAACACTGTCTTTGCTTACATCTCAGGCTGTAACCTGTTGACAGGCTGAAACCTGTTGCTCTCTGTCTGAGAAAGCTGAGTCTTGATTGTCCAGTCTCTTGATTTGGTAAAGACCTTTGGGAAAACTCCTGGCAGAGCTTGTAAAACAACATTTCAATGGAATGAAGATCGAGTCATATGTAAAGTTTATATGTTCCAATTTCCTTATATGGAACTTACATGCAATTACAATAGGTCTCATCGGGACACTTGGAACCTAGCAGTTAAACTGTGTTAACCACACTTTGACTTCTGCAAGCATAGTTGTAGAAATGTCACCCTTCATTGATGACAAGACAGGTCATTGATTTAATTGCTCTTTAGTGCACTTTTCTACGTTATGAAGTTGTCTTTAATTAGGGTTCAGTATGTAATTTCACATTAAACACTCAATTACCTGAATTAAAAACAAACAAAAAAAATCCCTAAAAATAGTCTCTCAGTACTAAAGTAGTTTAGATCTTGGCCTGAGTGGCAGACCCCATTTTTTGCAGACTGAGTTACATTCTTTTCATCCATGTGAATTCCTCAAGAAAAGATTTAGTGTTCATAAACTGCAGCTTCAGTTAGACACTTCCTCAATTACAGGCCAATAGCCTTCTGAACAGTTCTTTAGAACCCTGCTTTCCTCTCTTGACTAAAGTGTATGTGTCATTCTTTAGTCAGTAGCTCAGCATTTTGAAATTTCAGGCGCATGTCAGAAGGTTCAACTATAAATTACCAGTGGCCCACTTTGTGCCAAAACTCCTTGAGACAAGATATTTGGGAGATTCAGTCTAGTGGTCAAGTGTAATAGAAATTCCTCTCTCTCTCTCTTTTTTTCTTAAGTTTTATCCATGAATAGTTAGATCATCAGAAGCTAACCCACTTGAACTATGCTGGCTTCAGGTATGTAGTTTTTCACGGGAGAAATGCGTGAACCTAGCTTTCACATTATGACCTTGTATTTCATAGAAGACAACCATGAGGAGTGTACACCTGCCATATTTATGTACTTTTGTTCAACTGTGATTGCAGACATCAGCTTTTAGGTTATCTTCTGTCTTTTTTGACTGGATCTACAAGACAGTTCCATTTATGAATTTAATGCCCATAGCCTGAAAAAACTTGCCTCTTCACAATGATTTCTATGTGTTCTTTTTATCAGCCCATAAGGAATACACAACTATATTTTATTCTTATTCACTCTTCCTGCCTGGAAGGTCAGCATTAAATTTAGAGCTCAGAGAGGGGCTTAGGAAAGATTGTTTCTCTGCTTCTTTCTTCTTTGATTCTTTGTTGTGCTTTATAACATTGTAAGTGTGTGGTTTTATCTCTTTGGGGAGTAGATATGGCATAGTGAAAGTGAAAGTGAAGTCGCTCAGTCGTGTCCGACTTTTTGCGACCCCGTGGACTGTAGCCCAGCAGATTCCTCCGTCCATGGGATTCTCCAGGCAAGAATACTGGAGTGGGTTGCCATTTCCTTCTCCAGGGGATCTTCCTGACCCAGGGATTGAACCCGGGTCTCCCGCTTTGCAGGCCGACACTTTAACCTCTGAGCCACCAGGGAAGCCCAGATATGGCATAAGTTATATATAAAATCTCCTTAGCAGTTATCTATGTTATTCCTAGCTTTCATGTATATGAATGATAGAGGACATGAGATGTCATATTCCAATCCAGATTTGAATGATAAATTATATTACAGTGGGATCTATTGTAGTTTTATTTTAGCTTACCTTAAGTCATCAGATCCAAGAGCAGTTTTATTTTTTTATTTTATTTTAATTTTTGCCCTACATGATTGTGGTTTTATTTTTTTCACAAAATACAAAGCTTTTCACCACATTATAGTAGTGTTCTAATACAAGAAAATCCCAACATTTCCATTGCAGTGGAAGAGTGATTTATGTATAGGATATTAATTTTATAGGTCCTTTGTTATTTTTGACTTTTGGTTGATTCTGGTCCTTCAACCACAGGATGAAGACGTCATTGCAATGAAGTCTTCCTCCTGCTGACCCCCTCGAGCAAATCCTCCCCAACTGCATTTTCTAAACAGACAGCCTCACTAATTTCACCATCTCCTGCTACAACTCCCTTCTGTCTCTGCTGAACACCTCACTCTTATTCTTTTCAGCTCCATATGGCCTGGATCTATGGAGAATCCTGAGATCAGACAAAGTGGATGGAAAAAGGCTGGTGCAGTTGTTGTGGAAGGTGACCTCTCTCTGGGTTATTTATTTACAATTCTGTGTAAAAGCCTTGGTCTCTTATACCTCTAAGAACTGTGATTATGGACACTTTACCTCCTTAATTTCCTTCCCTAGAGGCTTTGATGCCCCAAATCTCACAATGGCTTCAAACCTCAGAAAAGCCCTGTATGTCATTTTGTAGAAGTTCATAATGGGCAATGCAGACCCTGAGCCTTCTTCTTTGATCTGAAACGTTAACACTTGGAAATGTTAACACCTGGGACAGGTACAAAGTGTGAGTGCAAGGGTAAGTGCGGGAGGCTCCTTGACCTTCTGGAGAAAACCGTCGCTGGCTGGCCTTCACTCTAAGGCGATGTAAAATCATAGAGCCCCCACCCGCACCCTGGAGAAGGGCACTGCCTTGGGGCTGAGCTTACTCGTGTGTCCTGAGGTCATGGCACAAGAGCCCCCAGAGCACTGGGGTAGTGGGGTGCAGGGATTGGACAGGGGCCAAGTGGTCCTTTGTAGGATGGAGGCCTCGGAATGAAGAACAAAGGAGGATCCAGGTGGTTAATACAGAGGGCACGAGAGAGGGGATGAGAGGTGACGGTAGGAAAAAGGAGGGATCAGTAGGAAAGGAAAGGGCAAACAGAGGGGAAAAACCAGCCAGAAAGAAGGAGAGAGGAGTTGGGGGAAAGAAGAGAGGGAGGAGAGCAGTGAGATGCCCCAATTCTTTGGTGTCTCCAAATTCCTCAGGAAATACTCATTGGGTTATCCCATACTTGCTCAAGTCTGGGCAGGTTTCAAATGCTCTTGAAAATGGAGAAATCGCCCTGCTTTTTCCAAATGACATCCCAATCCCAGTTACTTCATGGTTGGAGCACCTTCTACCTTTCTCCTCTCCCCACCCCGAGGACAGAAAGACACCCTCAGTGGCAGCAGGCAAGGGAGAACACAGCCAGTGAGTGGTGTTGGGAAACCTTCAAGAATTGATCCCAGATGTTGTGAGTTCTTTCTCAGTCATCAAGTGTGGAAAGGAATTACTCTGTCAACATATTTCTGAGAAGGAAAGTAAACAAGGGCACATCCTGTGTGTGGCCAGACCCACATAGATCAAGTAGGCCAACCTCTGAAGTAGGTGAGATGGACTTGAATGCCCTTCTACTTCTCCCCCTCACCTGGGGACTGGTCCTCCTTTTGCTTCAGTAGAGTTTTCTAAGAATTAGAGCTGCTTAAAAAAGAATGAACTAAAATCAGATCATGGTGATGATTGCACAGCTCTTGACTATACTAAAAGCCAGTGAGTTGCACACTCCAAAAAAGTGAATTTTCTGGTATGTGAATTATATCTCAATAAAACTATTATTTTATTATACAAAAAAATGAGTTATCATGAAAGATAAATGCCTCCCAGTCATTAGGAAGATTTTTAGCTGACTTTTAATGTCATGAGAGGTGTAAAGGAAATTCTCAAACCAAAAAGGCAGTGGGACAAAGTGACTTCTGAAGTCCTTCTGACCTTATGTTCAGTCATTCCGCTCATCTCTCTGTGTTATCAGTAACAGAAAGAGAAAAACAGGAGAGCCCTCTAATTCCTGAGAAATACTCAGCATGCTGATCTCTAGCAAACATATGATTAATGGGCTCAGGTTCAAGGCTGAATAAAAGGTTGGCCTGGAGACCCTGGGGTCACCTTCATTTCTCACCAAGGATTTGGTCTGGTAGGGTAACCTTGAATGTTCTAGTCCTCTTAGCTGGAATGTGTGGTTGGGGAAGCCCTCTCCTTGGAGAGGGTGGTATGCAGATAAAAGGACAGGGCACTCTCCAACCCTTGAAGGTTTCCATGAAAGAAATGACCCAGGGCCAGAACAGACGTGGGACTGGCTCAGAGGAAATGCCTCAGCTTTCAAGTTTATGCTTCTCTTTCCATTATCAATATCCATTGGATCATAGAAAGAGCAAAAGAATTCCAGAAAAATATCTGTATCTGCTTCATAGACTACACTAAAGCCTTTGACTGTGTGGATAACAACAAACGATGGAAAATTCTTCAAGAGATGGGAATATTAGACCACCTTACCTGCCTCCTGAGAAACCTTTATGAAGGTCAAGAAGCAAGTTAGAACTGGACATGGAACAATGGACTGGTTCCAAATCGGGAAAGGAGTATGTTAAGGCTGTATGTTGTCACCCTGCTTATTTAACTTATATGCAGAGCACATCATGTGAAATGACAGGCTGGATGAAGCACAAGTTGGAATCAAGATTGCCAGGAAAAACATCAATAAACTCAGACACGCAGATGACAACACCCTTATGGCAGAAAGTGAAGAGGAACTAAAGAGCCGCTTGATCAAAGTGAAAGAGGAGAGTGAAAAATTTGGCTTAAAACTCAACATTCAGAAAACTAAGATCATGGCATCTGGTCCCATCACTTCATGGCAAATAGATGGGGAAACAATGGAAACAGTGAGAGACTTTATTTTCTTGGGCTCCAAAGAGCCCACTGTGGATGGTAACTGCAGCCATGAAATTAAAAGACGCTTGCTCCTTGGAAGAAATGCTATGACAAACCTAGACAGTGTATTAAAAAGCAGACACATTACCTTGCCTACAAATGTCCATGTAGTCAAAGCTATGTTTTTTCCATTAGTTGTGTATGGATGTGAGAGCTGGACAATAAAAAAAGCTGAGCATCAAAAAATGTATGCCTTCGAATTGTGGTGCTGGAGAAGACTCTTGAGAGTCCCTTGGACAGCAAGAAGATCAAACCAGTCAATCCTAAAGAAAATCAACCCTGAATATTCTGAAGCTGAAGCTCCAATACTTTGGCCACCTGATGCAAAGAGCTGACTCACTGGATAAGACCCTGATGCTGAGAAAGATTGAAGGCAGGAAGAGAAGTGGGTAACAGAGGACAAGGTGGTTGAATGGCATCATTGACTCAATGAATTTGAGTTTGAGAAAACTCTGGGAAATAGTGGAGGACAAGGAAACCTGGCGTGTTGCAGTCCATGAGGTCACAAGGAGTCGGACACGACTGAGCAAGTGAACAACAACCTCTCCCATTTAAGACAGAGAGAAAGATGCTGCCTAAAGGAATAAGGAGTGGTTTGCTTGCATTGATTTGGGCATCATGCTAGTTTAGCTTTGTGGAATTAGATTTATGTCAAGGGTTGATACCAAGAGACCATTTAGAAATCCCCTCTCCTGGCATTTGGAGGGTTAACATGGCACAGAGTATGTTACTCATCCCAGAGGGATCATCATATGACTATAGTTTAGCACCTAATAGTTAATATTACCTCCCATCCCTGATTCCCACCATTTATTACTGTCTCAATGGCTTTCTTTCTTTGCTGTTAGCAGTAAATTTTGTTTCCTTTGTGTTCAGAAGGCAAAAGGAACCCCAGTCCTGGAGAAAGTACTTGGTTACAACATATGGTATTTTCCAGAAAACAATACTAACCTCACAGAGACATTGAACACTACTAACCAGCAGCCTGAACTGTACCTGGGAAACCAGACCTACTGGGTACATGTGATTTCTTATAATTCTCTTGGGAAATCTCCAGAGGCCACCTTGAGGATTCCAGCTATTGATGAAAAGTGTAAGTATGACATAAACTTCTTAGTTAGATGCCTTACCCCATCTGATTTGCCAAGGAGTTGTCCCTATCATGAGTTTCAGTAAACTCCGGGAGTTTGTGATGGACAGGGAGGAGGCCTGGCGTGCTGCGATTCATGGGGTCGCAAAGAATCGGACACGACTGAGCAACTGAACTGACTGACTGACTGTCCCTATCCTCTCAATGGTTGCTGTTTTTTAAGCATCAAAATTAAAATGAAGTAAGGACATTTTAGGTTATGGTGGGGTGATCATAATCTTCAATCAATTAATGAGCTTCTTGAAATAATGTTCTTTTGGAATAAAGCCTGTGTTGAAAATCAGAGATTTCGTAAATCATAGGATACACAGTCATGAGCCTAGAAGTTCTATGTGCAGCAAGTATTTGTTTTATTCTGAGTGAATATAAGCTGGATTGAGCATTATAAAACTGTCAGATCTGCCATGTTTATCCTCAGTGGCTCAAAGATGTCTTTCGAAATCTTCCCTTCACAGTTCTGACCACATCCCAGTCTTAATTTGTTCACTCTGCTGTTTTCTTCCTTTTCTCCCTTCCACTTGACTATCTAGTTAGGGATAGTTCTAATGTTAATTGTTGTTGTTGTTCAATTGCTAAGTAGTGTCTGACTCTTTGCAACCCCATGGACTGCCCCATGCCATAGGTTTCCCTGTCCTTCACTATCTCCCTGGAGTGTGTTTGGATTCTTGTTCATTGAGTTGGTGATGCTATCTAACCATCTCATCCTCTGCCACCCTCTTCTTTTGCCTTCAACCTTTCCTAGCACCAGGGTCTTTTCTAATGAGTTGGCTCTAATGCTTATTCTTGCCAATAATTGTTCATTACACCTTTAATTAAGTAATTTTAAAAATGTTACTACTCTCATGCAAACTTATATCCTGTTTTGGAATAAAATAGCTTCTTTGAGTCTTATTCAAGGAACTGCAGGCAATCTATTTCCTCTTCCTGGCTTTATTTTCTCTCTAGATCTTATTGCTGTTGTTCAGTTGATAAGTCATGTCTGACTCTTTTGCGACCCCATGGGCTGTAGCCCACCAAGTTCCTTTATCCATGGGATTTCCCACGCAAGAATACTGGGGTGAGTTGCCATTTCCTTCTCCAGGGGAATCTTCCTGACCCAGGGATCTGACCTTCGTCTCCTGCGTCTCCTGCAGCAATGGCAGTGGTGAGCAGTTGCAACAGAGGCCTGCAAAACCTAAAATGTTTCTTATTTGACCCTTCACAGACCTCTTTGCAGTTCCCAGTCCAAGACATTTAAGAATGTGATGTTTTACAGAATTTTGTTTACTAGAGTCACCTGGAGAATAGTTATAATAATATTTGTAAGTTTAACAGTCATAAGTATAATTATCCAATATTGTCCATTAGGATATGTCAGACATTGTGCTAAAATGATATGATTCAATCTAATTTTAGCCTCACATGACCCATGGGATAGGTGCTATCAGGTTTACTTTTTAGCTGATGAAGCTGTGATTTAGGAAAGCTTAGTAATTTGCCCAAAGATCTCTCAGGCGGACTTTAAGCACAGGTCTACATGATTCCAAACTTGTCCATTATATTTTATCCAGAACCTTGGACTTAGTAAAGTGACTTAGAAATCTGATCACAGCTGCTGTGTGACACTGAATGATTATTTTCCTCTGTGGACCTCTGTTTTCCTATCTTTCAAATAAAGAATTGGAACAGAAACACCTTCAGGTTCCTTTTGGCCCCAAGACAAGAAGCTCTGCTTCTAGGAGACCTTAGCCAGCAGACAGCTGTGGAGTGGTCTGAGGCAGGACATGGCAAAACATGGCCAATTGTCCGAGGAGGAGGTTGGTACTGAGTTGAGGTAGGGTTCAGGTTGGGCTAGGATGGTGGGCAAAGATGAAGCACTACTAGCATCTGAGAATGGTATTTGATGGGCCCAGAGTGACTGACTTCACGAAAATCATAAGAAATTAATGACATTTGCAGTCTAAGTGCCTTTCCTCTTTTCTCAAGAGGGATCTATTTCCTACCACATCTGGGGGTGTATTGTGTTTGGAGAAGTTGCTCAAAAAGTGATTGTTGAGTGATGGAGGCAATTAGTCAACATTCAGTAGAACAATGACTTGGAAACTTCTTTCAACAACCCTTAATGCTGCCCAGGCCCTTTCGTCTTGCTAGGCTGACTCATGGCTTGATTCCACACCCTCTGTGGTCCAGAATCTGTGCTTATTTCTTAACTCTTTAGACCTGACTTCTGCTTCTCAGAGTTCCAATGCTGCTAAAGAGAAAGAGTGTGGGATTAGCAACCAACACTCACTTCCATCTTCATGTTGGGATGTTTGTGCAAGTGGTTTATTAATCAGAAAAGGAAGGAAGGCCAGGGAAGAGGAGGAAGAGGAGGCTGAGCCAAAGATGTTGATTGATTTTCCCAGATCTTCCCAACAAAGCACCATAGACTCGGTGACTTCAAACAACAGAAACTCAACTGCCTCATTGTTCTGTAGGCTAGAAGTCTGAAAATGAGGCACTGGCAAGACCGTGCTCCCTTAAAAACTTCTAAGGGAGGATCCTTCCTTTTTATTCCAGTTTCTGGAAGCCCCAGGCTTTCCTTGGCTTGTAGCAGTCTAATTCTAATCCGACTCATTCCTCACATGACCAGCTTCCTGTGTGTATCTGTCTTTGCATTCAAATTCCACTTTTAAGGAGACCAGTCGTATTGGGCTAAGGACTCTCATCTTATTTTAGCTACTTACACCTGCTTTCCAAATGAGGTTACATTCTGCAATGCCAAGAATATCTTCTGTGGGCACACAATTCAACCCAGAATGGTTCGATCTGAGTTGACAGTCCTGGGGAGGGTGGTTCCAGCCTGACCCTTCTCAGGAACTCTGAAGTTTGTTACAGCTCAAAGTTATCCCAAGCAGGTGACATATAAAGACAGCAAAAAGGCATCAGAGGGGATCGGTTGGTAGTTTAGTCTCTAAGTCGCGTCCGACTCTTGTGACCCCGTGGACTATAGCCTGCAGGCTCCTCTGCCCATGGGATTCTCCAGGCAAGAATACTGGAATGGGTTGCCATTTCCTTCTCCAGGGGCTCTTCCCAACCCAGGAATCAAACCTGATTCTCCTGTATTGCAGGCAGATTCTTTACTGATTGAGGGGATCAGGGAACACTGACGTTACCTGCTTCAAGAGGCTGAGTAAGTTTCCAAATGCTCCAATAATGACTTTAAGCCTGACTGCAACAGTGACTAAGGATGCTCAGAGGCTGTGAGCCGGGGAGGGCAGGGAGGAGAGAGCTGGAACGCTAGGGCTTGGGTGGGGTTGATTTCCTGGCTCTGTGCTCCTTGCCCTTCTCCAGCTTCACAATTTCCCCATGGCTCAGCTGCCCTTTCAAGGTGACAGATTCTCTGGCCTCGCTTCTAGACCAGATGCTAGAGTCTCTCATAAAGGCCTAGTATAGGGAAAGGACTCCTTTCCCTTTGATTGTGAGCTTCAAGAACAGAGGCTCCTAAATACGCACACAGCCCTCTGGGGCTGTTGTTGTTTTCCTTTTATTTTATTTATTTTTTTATTTTAAATTAATTTTTATTGGAGTCTAGTTGCTTTTGGAGTGGGGAGCTTCCTTGGTGGCTCAGACAGTAAAGAATCTGACTGCAATGCAGGAGACCCAGGTTCGATCCCTGGGTCAGAAAGGTTCCCCTGGAGAAGGAAGTGTCTACCCATTCAAGTATTGCTGCCTGGGAAAGCCCGTGAACAGAGGAGCCTGGTGGGCTACAGTCCATGGAGTTGCAAAGAGTTGGACACGACTTAATGATTAACACGCACACAATCGCTTTACAGTGTTGTGTTAGTGTCTGCCATACAGCAAAGTGAATCAGTTATACATATACACACATCCCCTCATTTTTAGATTTCCTTCCCATTTCTTTGGCTTACCTGATAGCTCAGTTGGTAAAGAATTTGCCTGCAATGCAGGAGACCCTGGTTCAATTCCTGGGTCAGGAGGATCCCCTGGAGAAGGGATAGGCTACCCACTCTAGTATTCTGGTGTGGAGAATTCCATGGATTACAGTCCATGGGGTCGCAAAGAGTTGGACATGACTGAGCAATTTTCACTTTCCCATTTAGGTCACCACGGAGCACTGAATAGAGTTCCTTTTGCCATAGAGTAGGTTCTCATTAGTTATCTATTTTACACATAGTAATGTATTTGAGCTCCGGGAGTTGGTGATGGACAGGGAGGCCTGGCGTGCTGCGATTCATGGGGTTGCAAAGAGTCAGACAGGACTGAGCGACTGAACTGAACTGAACTGAATGTATTTGTTGCATAGGCATAGCAGAATTTAGCACCCCCTGGCCTCTTATGCCAAATCTCTATACTTTGCCTAGGTTTCCAACTTCCAGAGGCATTTTGGCTTTTTTGAGGGACTCCACCTCTTCTTCTGCCCTCATCCAGAACCATCTTTGATGTTAATTTAAACATGCTTCCTGTGGATTCCAATTCTATAGGCTCAGGGGTGTTGCAGGCGGTGAGGAGCAGAAGAGGGGAAAGCCACATGCTGTGGTCTTCTGAGCCCCACTCCTTCATGCCCTCCGTCTTCTCCTTCTCTTCCCACATCTCCAATAGTCCTCTCTTCTGTGTATTCAGAACATTTTCAATAAGGGAACTCTCTGATTCTGATTAGATCCCAGCTACTAGACTTGAAGCCACATGTTCAACTTTTCTACTAAAGAATACTATGGACTGTTTCCCCACCTATTTTTTTGCTAGGTCTGCAGGGAATGCAGTCATTTACCTATTGGTCCACAGCTAGGTGCTTCAGTTGGGTGTGTCTATATCCTTCTGCAGCAGACACAGTTCCTCCTACCTGAAGATGGGACTGCATAGCCAGGTTGTATAGCACCAGTTTAGATAGTTGAAATTAGAAACCATCACCCTGGTATGATTTTAGGGTCACCAGCTTCCAGCTTCCCAGTTACAAAGTTATAGATGCCTGAAATTCTACCTTTAGAGATCTATTCTTTGTCTCAGGCTTACTTTCCTTTTGATTTGCACAGACCCCAGAGATGCCTGGTAATTCTTCTTAGGCATCAACAGTCTAGTAAGGTTCTTTGCTGGCAACAGGCAAATTTGGGGAAGATAACAAAAGGCACTTCATCCAGTAAGGAAAAGGGATACAATAAAAACATTGAAAACAGCATCCTAGTAGAAGGTGGCAGTGGAGATCCTGAACTTTGACCTTCTTTACACTTTGGGCAGTGAATAGATGTAAATGTGGTTGGTGCATTTGGAGGATGAGTTCGGTGTTGTGAAGCAGTCTTTTCCTCTCCTTTCAGTGTTCCAGTGCATTGAGGCCATGCACACCTGCCTCACTCAGGACCAGCTGGTGGTGGAGTGGCAAAGCTCTGCTCTGGAGGTCGATACATGGATGGTGGAGTGGGTCCCAGACTTGGACTCAAAGCCCTTGGCCATTTCCTGGGAGTCTGTGTCTCATACCAGGAACTGGACAATCCAGCAAGGTAGCCAGTGCGGACCCCACAGGTTCTTGCTATGTAGGATTCACTTTCCTTTTCACCAGTTTTAAAATCCTTAATTTTGGCTTCAAACCTGTAAATTGTGAGTAATAGAATTTGACAGGCTAGGGCAAGCTTAGTGATGTGTGCTTCTTGGCATTTCCCAGCAATGCTGGAAGAATAAGCCGTGAGTATCAGACTAGGCAGCTGACATGCTTCCAGGCGGAAAGCACCATATTTGGTGGTGGACACCCACCATCAGAGAGCTCTTCCCAGATACCATGATCATGTGGATACAATGTGGAAATCATGCGATTGTGTGGAAACACCAGAGTTTGTATCCCATCTGTCATATTCAGGGTGCCTCCTTCAGTTCTGGCTACATGTTTAGGTTCTAGGGCCCTTCCCCAAGTGACTGATACAGAGAATAGCCTTCTTTTCAAGAAAGTCCCTGCTCCATATAAGACACATCAGTGAGGCTTTACTCTCCCAGTCCTATCACTCCAACCATTTTTTAATACTTAGTAGCACTTATGTAGCGATGCAGACAGACAGAAGAGCTAGAATGTATGGTAGCTGAGTTCTCTAGGGTGATATGCTATTGAAAGAAGAATTAAGTTTATTCTGTAGTGCTCCCCAAATGATGTAGCAAAATCACTGATGAAGGAGAGCCTGGATCTCTTACTTCTCCCTTCCTGGGTGGCTCAGCCATTTTGTCAGAGTGGTGCAGGTTTGGTTCTAAGAATTAATTTTAAAATGTTAGAAACAACATAGACATTTGAGACCATCCAAGTTAACTTCCTTATTTTTCAGATGTGGAGATGATTGAGAAGTAAAGTATCTTCTGTAAGTCACAGGTCATAAGTCTTAGTCTAGCATTCCGTCTTCTATGCCATGCTCTGGACCTAACGCTTCTTTCTCCCTCCCTCACTCCTTCTCTCTCTTTCCCTTCCTCTGCACCCCCTCCCTCTCTACCTCCCCTTTTTCTACAGATGAACTGAAACCTTTTTGGTGCTATAATATCTCTGTGTATCCAATGTTGCAAAACCGAGTGGGCGAGCCCTTTTCCATCCAGGCTTATGTCAAAGAAGGTGGTACGTATGGACAAGGTTCCATTGGGCAAAGGAAACTCTGGGGCCTGTCCAACATTTCCTCAAGGCTGTGAAGGCCTGTAGCTTGTTCACAGTTTCTTTAGTGCTCATCCGTGCTGCACATTTAGCTTGTAATAAGCTATGTATACTTATTACAGTGTGTAGAAGTTGACACAGTTGTGGTCAGAGTATGGAGTCACTGAATTTTAAAGCTGCGGTGGACATTAGAGATCATCAAGTCCAAGTCCCTCATCTCACAAAAGCAAGGCTCAGAGAGGTGAGCCAACTTGCCCAAAGCCACAAAGAAACAGCGCTGACAGCCCTATGATCAGAAAAGAAAGACCAAGCTAGGGACCCTAAGAGTTAACTGTAACTTGGAGATGCTAAAAAATTATATTTGATTGTATAGCAATAATCAAAGGTTTTATTGGTGAACCACTCAGATTTTAACTTCTACCTTTTTGGAAGTTAACATCTTCCAGATTCAACCTTAGGAAATATATCCTGTCACTCAAAGACAGCTCACGGAAGCATAATCTTCAACTGTTTGATAATAGCTATTACACGTATGGATGAAAAAGCTGGGTGCCAAATTAGTGAGCGGTCTATGAGGAAGTACTCTTTCTCTGGTCTTTGACTCTGCTTCTCTTCCTGTTTGAGAGGCATGATTCCAGACAACAGTTTTCTCAAGACAAGTTGATTCATCATTTCCCGACTCTGCCCCACCTCCCACCCCCATTACAGTTTGAGGACTGGGCAGAGACTTCATAGGGGAAGGATGTGCTGGGGTGTGATGCGGTGTTCATTTGTCTCCCTGTCCTATAAAGTTCCATCAGCAGGTCCCGTGACGAAGGTGGAAAACATTGGTGTGAGGACAGTCACAATTACATGGAAGGAGATTCCCAAGCATCAGAGAAATGGTTTCATCAACAATTACACCATATTTTACCAAGCTGAAGATGGAAAGGAATTCTGTAAGTGAGCTTATAGTCAAGCTGAAAGAACCCTGAGCCCCAGATAGATGCTGCGGATAGACCTGCTATCGGGGTAGCTCCTATGGTGGGTGCCCTGCCATTTTGCAAGAATCACTTAACTTTCTTGAGATTCTCTGAAAACAGTGTCAAGGGTGTCCATCTCTTGAGTTTTTAAGAGTTAAATGAGATTGAAATGACTGTACCTGAGAGTCCTGTAGGGACCAGAGAAATTGATATAATTTGTGCCCATCAGGCTGTGAACAGTGGGCCTCCAGGGAGCTCTTGACCTTTACTCCAGAGTGGGACATGCCTAGATTAAAGGCTAGAGGGGACAGACCCTATTTGGTGGCACTTGCTTCAGTGCAGGACCCTTTACAATGGCTTCTACCATCCACTGCCTTTTTCTTCCGTCTACAATATTGCCTGACATCCTCAATTGTGGGCTAGGCCTGGGTTTCTGTTTAGGCTAATTTTTTTTTTGGTTAAGGTAAAATACATATAATACATATAATGTACATATAATGTAAATTTTACCACTTCAAACATGTGAAAGTATACAATTTAGTGGCGTTAAGTATTAAACATCTGTAATGTTGTAACCATAACACTATTATTTCCACTCCAAACAGAAACCGTGTACCCATTAATCAGTCACTTCCTTACCCTTGTCCCACAGTCTGCTGCAACCACAAAACTCCTTTCTGTTTCTATGGGTTTACCTATTCTGGATATTTCATAGAAACAGAATCCTACAACCCTTTTCTTTTCTTTGCCTGGCTTCTTTCACTTAGCATAATGTGTTCGAAATTCATCCATGTTGTAGCATGTATTAGCCCCTCATTCCTTTTTATGGCTAAATATAATATTTTATTATATCAAGAAACATTTTTTTAGTCCATTCATCAGTTGATAAAACATTTTAGCCACTGTTATTAATGCTGCAATGAACATTGGTGTATAAATATCTGTTTGAATCTCTGCTTTTAATTCTTTGGGGGGTATATACTAGGATTAGAATTTCTGGGTCATTTGGGAATTCTAAGTTAACTTACTGAGGGACCACCAAACTGTTTTCCATAGCAGCTATTTACATTTTCCACTAGCAATAAATTAGAGTTCTAATTTCTCTACATCCTTATCATCACTTGTTATTTTTTGTTTTTAAAAAGTGTGGCTGTCCTAGTGGGTATAAAATGCTATCTCAATGTGGTTTTTAAAAAAATGTATTTATTTTTAATTGAAGGATAATTGCTTTACAACATTGTGTTGGTTTCTGTCATATATCAACATGAATCAGCCATATCAACATGAATCAGCCATATCAATGTGATTTTGATTTGCACTTCCATAATAACGAATGATGTAGAGCATCTTTTATATGTGTTTGTTGGCCATTTATATATTTTCTTTAGAGAAAGTCTTCTCAGTCTCTTTGTTCATTTTTAAGTTGGGCTGTTTGTCATTCAATTGTTGAGTTGTTAGGGTTTTTTGTTCTTTTTTTTAAAAAAAGCATTCTGGATACAAATTCCTTATCAAATGTATAATTTGCAAGTATTTTTCCCCATTCTGTGAATTTTTCACTCTCTTGATAGTGTCTTTTGATGCACAAAAACTTTTAATTTTGATGAAGTCCAGTTTAACCTTTCTGCTGCTTCTGTGCTGCTGTCATATTTAAGAAGTCCCTGTCATATGCAAGGCTATCTAGATCTACGCTATGTGGTTTTCTAAGCGTTTTATAGTTTTAGCCCTTATATTTAGGTCTTTGATCCATCTTAATAAGCTAATTTTAATGGATAGAGAGATAGGAGTATTAGATGGCCAAGCTTGGAGCCCAGGCTCCAGTGCTCTTATTTGAACTCCAATAAAGCACAGTTTTCACTTGGCTTTGGCTGTGGTGTTTGACTTCTGTATCTTTCCTTTAGCCCAGACAGTCAACTCCAGCATCCTGCAGTATGACCTGGAGTCCCTGACACGAAAGACCTCTTACACTGTTCGGGTCATGGCCAGCACCAGAGCTGGGGGAGCTAATGGCCCCGGGATAAGCTTCAAGACATTGTCAATTAGTGAGTACTTTTTAGTCCCTGGGAATGTCTCCTTGACATTTCCTTTAGGCCAGTCACAGATGGTGTTTGCCAGGGGCAGGGGAAAGCCAAATGAAGGGGCGAAGTAAGAAGAACCATTTGTTGTCTGACTCACTGGCCTTCCAGGAAAGCATATGTGTGATGGGACAGAGAACAGGAAGATTGAGAGCTGAATTTGGAAAGATGGTTCATTTTGCTTCTGCCTCACAGGTAGCCCCAAATCTTCATAGAGAGGAGGGATCAAGTTAACGCCAACTTCACTGACACTTCAAACCAGCCCCACCTCGAGACTGTCCCCAGTTCACAGTCGTGAATCCCTGTGTGTCAAACAAGGAAAAACCTTGCACCACTGACCCACTTAATGTCATCATTTGTGGAGTCTTTTGAGTAAAAAAGTGCACAATATCTTCTAGCAATCAGATTTTATATTAAAAATGGGAGCAAGAAAAATTTAATAAATAAAACAATAATGTAAAATATAATGTGATTCATATGATGCTTGTGGGGGCTATTAAAGAGGGGAAATAAGATGGGCTGAGAAGGGAGATGAAGGAGAAAGAAGAAAGGAAGATGGGAGAAACAGGTTAATTTTTCCAAGTCTTTGAATGACAGAGATTTGATTGTAAGGATATACTAACATTGTTCTTAAAAATGAAACTTAAAAGTGAAGGAATATTGCAAAATTTCAATAAAAGCTAGAAACAGTCTAAGTATTCTTGGAAATCCCTTGTTTATCATCATGTTTCCAAGAGAAGAAAAGCAGTTTATGGTTCTAGAAAATGTGGGTATAGTATGTGTTTCTACACAGAAAACATGTTCTTTTTTATTGACTGAAACCTTGTCTTTAGGGACTTCTTTTTTGCTATTGCTCTTTAAAATCTTTAAAAATCATGTTATATTTTTACAACACTAGACACAAATTGCATTATCTGGTGGAATTTCTCTAGGGGTCAACTTGAAGGCAAAAAACTTGGAGCCTAGAAGTTTTTTACCCTTGGTTCTTATAGATCTCCCTGCTTCTATCTTTGATTCTCTACCATCTGTTTTCCACACAGCAGCCAGAGTTTAAAATCCTAGACCACTTGCTTAAAAGCCACCAATGGCTTCTGTTGTATTTTAAATAAAACCCAAACTCCTTCCCATAGCTTTCAGGACACTTCCTCGTCTGTCCCTTCCTGATCTCACCTCCCACCACTTCCCAATTATGTTCCCATTTATGCTCCTGCATCTGCTCATTTTTCTGTCTGGAATGCTTTCCCCAGAATGAACATGGCTCGTCCCTTCTCATTATTCACATTAGCTCAAATTTTACTTCTCCCAAGAGCCTTCCTTTGCTACCTTATCTAAAGGTGCTAACTCCTATCCCACTTTACCCTAGTTATTCTCTAATAATAAAAATAATTTTTAAAATACCTATTTTATCTGAAATAATCTTACATTATTTATTGTCTGAATTCTTGTACCAGAATGTAAACTCCATGAGAGTAGGGATTCTTGTGTTTCTTGCTGTTTGTTTTACTACTCAGAATAGTGTTTGGCAAATTATAAGTGCTCAGAAAATGTTTATTAAATGAATGAAACTGGAGGATGAACCTGGGGAGCATAATTTCTGTCAGTATTATTCAGGGAGAGGAGAAATGGAATGAATTTGAATTAAATTGAAAGAAAATTGACAAGGAATATGTTGCTAAAACTACTGGAAGGAAATATTACTCTTTGATTTTTGTCAAGAAAGTAAGGCGCTCAGCCTACTACTGATTTTGTTCTCCTTTTCCCAAAGGTGTCTTTGAGATTTTTCTTGTAACTTCTCTGGTTGGAGGGGGCCTTCTTATTCTCATCCTCCTGACGGTGGCATATGGCATCAAAAAACCCAAGTGAGTTTGGAGACAATGCGGGCCCTCAAAATGAGGGCTGGAAAGGGAGGGGAAGGCACCATGGGTGGAAGAGGGTGCTCTGCTATTTAGGCATGTTCATTCATTTTTTTTGTTTTTTTTACCTAGCTATTGAATTTAGCATGTGCCTCACACTGTGGCACATTAGATTTCTAACTGGAGCAGAGGACCTCTACCCCCCAGAGCCCCATGCACCAGGCCTAGGACTTTTTGAAGCCAGGGAAGTGCCAGCTGCCTCACAGGCTTTATCTGCTATGTTTTGCAATTGAGACTAGAGCTGGGGAGAAGATCCTCTCTCTCAGTGTCTAGTGGGGACCACTGGTGGCAGCAAAGGGTCTCCAGGCGGCCAGCTTCTCTTCTGGGTAGAGTAGGGAGCAGGGTGCCCATGGAGTTGGAGCTCTGGCCAGCGCAAGCCCAGCATAGACTGGTCCTTGCTAATTACACAGTGTTGGAGGGCTGGCTGAAGGCCATTTGTCCTGCCTGCTCTGGCCACTGTAGGGAAGGAAGCCTGTCTTCAGGGTCTTGTCATTTCTCTCCCCAGAGAGCCTCATTCTACCCTGAGGGTCATGGGCTCCCTCCCTCTCTCTCCAGAACTGCACAGCTGTGAGTCTTCTCTGCCAAGCTGCACTTGCGTGTGCATGTATGCTGTCACTTCAGTCGTGTCTGACTCTTTGCAACCCTAGAGACCCTAACTAGGGACCACAGCCTGCCAGACTCCTCTGTCTGTGGAATTCTCCAGGCAAGAATACTGGAGTGGGTTGCCATGCCCACCTCCAGGGGATCTTCCCAGCCCAGGGATTGAACCCATGTCTCTAATGTCTCCTGCATTGGCAGGTGGGTTCTTTACCACTGACGCCACCTGGGAAGCCCAAGCTGTACTTAGTTATGGTCAAACTAAGTCAACCTCAGTTCCCGTGGATTGTAACTGAATCTTCAACACAAATTCTTGTACATTTTGCATATCTAAAAGCTCCCAGGTGGTGACGATGCTTCTGGTTGGGAACCACACTTTGAGAATCACTGCTCTAAAACATGAGTATCTTCTAAGACTTAGAGTGTTACCTTTCCTGGGGAATAAATCTCAAACAAATGGCTCTGTGATAGTATGATTCCCGGCACCAGGACCAGGGGTGGAGATGCGGTGGCAGGAGAATGGGAAAGAGTAGCTTTGTCTGGGGAAAGGTCTCCCTCCATTACGTCCCACAAATGACTTGCAGTTTCACCACTCCCCCGCCCCCGCCGCAAAGCACTTTGTTTTCTCAGTTTCCATCAGGAGGCTGTGAGCTTGCCATTATTCAATAGGGAGCCGTACAATTTCCCATGTGTGTGTGCATGCTCAGTCGTAGACACTTTGTGTCTTTGGGTCTTTGTGACCCATGGACTGTAGCCCACCAGACTCCTCTGTCCATGGAAATTTCCAGGCAAGAATATTGGAGTGGGCTGCCATTTCCTTCTCCAGGGGATCTTCCCAACTTGAACCTGGTTCTTGCGTCTCCTCCACCAGAAGGCGGGATAGCATTCTTTTGGCTTGGCCATGCAGTACAAGTAAAATGCTTCTTGGACTTACTTTCCATTTTAAAATCTTCTCTCTTATTAGCAAACTGAAGCACCTATGTTGGCCTGATGTTCCCAACCCTGCTGAAAGCAGTATAGCCACATGGTGTGGAGATGATTTCAAGGTAAACACTCCTGTTTCTACTAAGGAGATTGTGAGCAGGCTGGTTATGGGAGGTGGACAAGATGATGCATGTGGGGAGCAGTCCTGGGCTGAGATTTGCACAGGGTTCACATAAGGGGAACTCGAGGTTTAAATATCCCAGGGAATGGGGGCAGGACAAGTGGAATCAGCCTTCCTGGAACAACTTTGACCTCAATCTTTGGACAAGAGGAAAGGGCTTCACCAGGCTCATAGAACCTGGTGTTTGCTGGGCATAGAACTGATCCTATAAGGGCTGCCACAGAAGAAAGACACTGGCCTTACCTTTAAGGACCTACTGTCCAGTTAGAAAGCAGGAGAGCCCAGCTATAAGGTTGGAGGCCATTGAAACAGCAGCCAAGAGCAAATTAATACAGAAACCACCTGAGGATTGCTTATGTGCATTTCTGTCTGAAGGCTAGGGCAGGCTGCATCAAATTGTTTTTCTCAGATTGGAGAAGTTGGCAACGGGTATTTTTGTGAGTTATTCATAATAAAAAGTTTCCTTTCACATACATTTTGAAAGTGAAAACTGTTCTGAAATTCTTAAGGTTTAATTTCCTGGTTAAGTAGAAATAAGCCCAGTCAAGTATAACCTTTAAATCCTTATTATTGAAGGACTATTTTCAGTATCCCTTGATGCAGGAATTTTTAGTATTAGCCCTCATTTCAACTCAGAAGACTTTTTTTAACGTGGACATTAAAATTATTTTATTATTTATTTAATTAAATTTTTGTTATTTCTCTTTTCTTCTCTCATCATTCATGTATTATCCTATTTAATTTCCTACTGACCAAAAGTTATTAACAGAGTAAATTAATTCATAGGAAGTATTGTTTGATGTCTAAAATGTTTTTTGAATTATCTGCAGCACCCACTTATTAATCACTCTATATATGCCAGGCATTGAACTAGGCTCTGGGAATACAAAGATGTCAGACCCTGCCCCTGCCAGGAAGCCATTTTTTATTTTTATGGTAATGTTGGGAAAGTCATTTGTCTTTATGACTGTGGTTTTTCCATCTGTAACAGTTTTAATTTTGATGCTTCCATTTCCACTGGAATTTTGTGAGCCCATGATTATATGAAAAATAGCTTTGGGCTCCCTAGAAGAAGAAGTTTATTTGAATATAATGTGTTGTTCTCAGGAAATGGGCCACTCTTGCCAAGGTCCCATGGAAGGGCACCACTCCTGGTCTCTGAGATGAATGTGGCAGACCAGTGCAGAGGTGGGCTTCGGGTGTCCCAAGCCCGGTAGCTTTTGGCTACATCATGTGTGGCCCCCAGATGACCATTGGGGGTGTGTCTCTCTCACTTTCCCAGGGAAAGCTAAATCTGAAGAAGTTTGACAACTCTGTGAACAGAGAAGAAGACAGGATTCTAAAACCATGTTCTTCACCCAATGGCCTTATTGACAAGTTGGTGGTGAACTTTGAGAATTTTTTGGAAGTGGTTTCCGCTGAGCATCCTGGGAAGGGTTGGGAAAATATCTTGGGAGGGGAAAAGAATGAGTACGTGACCTCCCCAAACAGGCCTTATTGTCCCACTGTTTCAACCGAGATTCCACCCAGAGGGTCCCAGTGCCTGTGTCCTGGGGTGCTAGAGGAGACCTGCTCAGAAGCCAGAGGGCAGCTTCTCCCTCCCGCCCAAGGCTTTGGGCCAGACCATCTCTGTGAGGAAGGAGCATCAAACCCATACTTGAAAAATTCAGTGACCACCAGAGAATTTCTTGTGTCTGAAAAACTTGCAGAGCAAATCCAAAGAGAAGTGTAAGTGCTCCTGTGACTTGAACCCCCCTGCGTCTCAGTGTGGGCGACACGCAGAGTAGAAGGTGTGGCTCCAAGAGCTTTCTTGGCATCTCCCCATCCTGCTTGTGTTAGAGAAAGCCTTGCACACCCTCAAACTTGGCTGGTACAGATGTGGAATTCGCTTGAGAAGGAAGGATGGTGATCAGCCCGAGCACTTTGCAGACGAAGAACAATCTTTTTTTGTTATTGTTGTTTAGTTAACAAGCTATCTGCCCCTGGCAGATGGACTCGGAGGGACAGTAGACACTGGAGGCGGACATATGTGGCCTTCCCGAGGAACTGGCCTTGGGCACGGCCTCTGCTGGGGCCGCTCCTCACAGCTCCAGGAGAGACTTCCCCTGTTGCCAGAAGACCGTTGTTTAGTTGGCACCTGGGTGACCTGCTGGGAGGCAAGGGGCTCTCCCATCACCTTGACTTCCCTGGCTCTAGGCTCCACTCTGAGGCAGCCCTGGCATCACTTTAGAGTCGCTTTAAATCTCTCTTTCAACGCAGAGGCAGAAAGCAGGGTGGCCTTCCAGATGGAGTGCCTGAAACACCTCATTATCCTCATTAAATCTCAAGGGTCTGCAGCAACACCCCACCCAGGACTCTTGCCCGTGGTCACTCCACGCCTGCAGCGGGGGATGGAGGAACAAGGGAGGGCCTCAGCAGGGCGCTGGAGAAGGGACTCTCGCCTGGGCTGGCAGGTCTGCTCCGCTGGCCAGGTCGTAGCCCAGCCCTGCCAACAGTTCCCGGAGGCCCCTGCTGCCCCTCTGTCTTGTACCCAAGCCTGGAAGTTGAAAGACGCCGAAGATGGCAGCGGCTGTTTGACAGGGACTCTGGTGCCTCGTGCTGGCCTGGAGCCCAGGAATGCTTATGGAACACATCCTGCAAAGGCCTCTCCCCAGAAGCAGCCGAGCAGGGCCTGGGCCCATGGACTGCTCAGTAACTGTGCTGCTCCCACGCCGGGCCTCCTCTGCCTTCACCGGGCAAAGCCGGGAGCCCACAGCCTTGACTGGAACCGTGAGCCCGAGGGCTGATGGCAGACCCCTGGGAACTTGCGGCCGGCCCTGCGCTCGCACCCTGCGCGCAGTGACTTGCTGCTGTTGGCGATGGCTTGTCTGGCCATTGCGGGAATTTGCTGAGAGCCTGGCATGGTGGGGGCAGTGGGGTCCAGTGAGCCCAGCATTTGCCAGATAGAAAGGCTGATGGTATTTTCTCCAAGAGTGGGAAGTCTGTGCTTGTGGTCCACAAGCAGCAATCACAGACTTCACAAGCCACCGACTCGGGTGTGCAAAAACATTGCTTTCCTTTCCTATAACCAAGATTGATTTCCAGTCCCAGCCCCTGACCTTTAGAAGGAACCACCCCAAGTTAGTGATTCTGAGTTGCCTTGGGTTTGGAGCTCGAGCTCACCTGGGATTTCAATGCCCCGTCCACCCTGGGACTGGCTCTGAGTGCCAGCAGATATTCAGGGGAGTGTGAGGTCTGCTGCCCAAACCTGGGCAGAGACGTGCCCTCTTCCCTGTCCCCTGCCACTTTCCTCCAATCACTCCATCCTTATCGTGGGCACAAGCAAGGATGCTTTCCCAAAGCTGTCTCCTCATTAAGTCTCCAGTGTCTATAGCACCCCCCAAATTCATCAGTCCTGGTTCACAGAACAGTGACCACTGATAAATCTAGGAATAAAGGATGCCTGGGGCAGGCGCTGGGGAGCCTATGTTCTCACAGCAGAAAGGGACCAAATGAAAGGGACTCCAGGCTGTGGTGGGCGCTCTCTGCCCTGATGCCTCCCTCCCCAACCCTGTTGTTATGTGGGCACTCCTGTGAACCCCGTGTCCTCCAGAATCCCAGACAAGCCCTTTCTATCCACCTCTGATCTCTGAGCTCACAGGAGGCCCTAGCCCGGTACCCCACATTCCTCTCTCTCTCCTGAGAAACCCTCTGCTGCCTCCAGCTGAGGGGCAGGGAGTGCCAATGAGTCCCTGTAGTCTTGTTCTCACACCCTTTTGAACCTAAAGTCCAAGAATTTGATGGTGGGGAGAGGGAAAAGGTCACAAATCGAAGTGGGTTTCAGAGATGAAGCCATTACCCTTACTCTCCCTCCCTTAACCATTCATTAACACCTGAAGCTCCTGATAAATAGCTGGCAAATACCACATCCTGGGGCTTCCCAGGTGGCAATACAGGTAAAGAACCTGCGTGTCAATGCAGGAGACTTAAGAGATGCGGCTTCAATCCCTGGGTCAGGAAGATCCCCTGGAGGAGGGCACAGCAATCTACTCCAGTATTCTTGCCTGGAAAATTCCGTGGACGGAGGAGCCTGTCGGGCTGCATGACTGAAGAGACTTTAGCACGCATGCACCACACCCTTGGCCCTTCCTCCGTTTCATTCCCTTTCCCACGTTCCTTCTTGCCTCCTGTCTTCTGCTCCTTTCCCCCCACCATTCCCAGCAGCTTTGCATCTTTTTAAACGCTTCCTTTTTTCCCCTCTCCCATTTCTTGTTTCTTTTCTTTTTATCCTTTTCTCCCCTTTCCATTAGCCCCCTTATAACATCTCCAGATTTGCTAGCTTTGAGGGCTAGGACATTTAGGGCCCTCTGTTTTGTTCTAGATGGCCCAAGGCGGTTTCACAAGAGTCAGTGTTTCCTGCCAGAAAAGGGGCACGTTTCTGAGGCAGCCCGCCCGGGAAGCACACTGCAGCGCCAGCCTGCAGACTGTCCCTGCTCCAGGGTCCTGCGCTGCCTCTGTGACTGCAGATGGAGGGGGCCATCTGCGTTTTTTTCCTGTTGCTGTCAGAGAGACACTGAGCAGACACAAACAGGAAAACTTGTTTTATCAAGCTCATTAAAAACTAGTAAAATTCTCCTTAGGGTTTTCTAGGGCTCTGGGAACCACGCAAACAGCTACATTAGTGCCCTGTTACTAGCCTTTCTTTTACAGTAATATCAGAAAAAATTTTTTAAAGAATGGCAGAGAAGCGGTTAGTGGTTCAAAAAAGGGAGGTGGTACCTTTATTCTTTCTTGGGCAGCTGCAGTAAAATGCAGAGTAACAATACCATCTGAAGTGGGGGTCCTGGTGGAGGTGGGGGTTTGAAAGAGGCAGAAGATGGGGAGGTCCCAACACCCCCATGGCTGTTCCTACCTCGTGTGGGGAAAGCCTGTGCTGGCCTGCCCAATTCCCCCCGCCCCGTTACCCCCCACTCCCCCAATCCCTTCCCTGGGTCTCCAGTGGCTCTTAGCTATTGATGCTGCTGCAGGCATGCTTCAGCCCAGGTCCCTGCCAGCTGGCCCTTGAGCCCAGTCTGGGCTCTGTTTCTGAAGGGCCCATGAGCCAAAAATGATTCTTACATTTTCAAAGACTAGAAAACAAAATTAAATGAAGAATAACGTTTAATGATATGTGAAAATGCTACGGAATTCAGTGTCTACTGCTGAAACTTAGTTGGGACACTGTCACACTTATCTTTGATCTATCATCTCCAGCTGCTTTCTGCACACAGAGACAGAAATGAATAGCTGTGACAGAGCTTCTTCCGTAGAGCCTAAAATGGTCACCATCTGGTCCTTTATAGAAAAAGTTTGCTGACCCACCCCTGTGAAGCCCATAGACACAGGCTCAGACTGCACAAAGTGTTTTAACTTTGAAGTATCTGCTAAGGAAAAACAAAATCAGGCTGTGTCATTCTGGACTCCTAATTGGATCGAGACAGCCCTCTTAAGAGGGCACACTGCGGCCCTCACGATATCTGTCTGCCTCTGCCTGTGGCTAAGCTGGATAGTTGTGGCTATTTAGCACTCACTCCAGTAGTTCTTGACCCAGGTTATTTTGTCTCCCATCCCCGACCGTCAGACATTTGGTAATGCCTGAGGGCGCTGCTGGGATCGAGTGGGTAAGAGCCAGCAAAGACGGTGGTCACCCTACAATGCACAGAACATCCCCTGCAACAAAGGATTATGTGTCTCAAGGCACCAGTGGTGCTGAGGTGAGAAATCCTGACTGAGCTAACCTCTGCCTTGCGCCCACAGCAATGATCACAGATGCCTCTCAGGGTCCATACATAGCTCTAGGGGGATCTCTCTTTTTTATTTTTTCATAAATTAAATTTTGTTTTGGACTCAACTTCACAACAGCAACAAGAACAAACATCTCAATACCAATTATTTCTTTCTTAATTCATTTCTGATATGATCTGTGTCCCTTAAGTGAAATACGTTTTCATTTAATTACAAGTGATACATTGATTCAATTGGAGTCTCCCTTTACTGTCACTTATTATTTCATGTATAAAATTTCATGTATGAATACAGTTCATAGTGGCCACACCGAACCTCTCAGTGTACCTGCATATCGTGATTTGCTCAGGATTGTTTTAAATGTCCTCCTCATATAGGGAGACACTTCAATGAACATTGTTGCACAAAATTTTCTTTTTGCACTTTTGTCCTCACTCCTTGGGTAGAATTGCTGGGTCAAAGTATTATGGTTATTGCATGACTGTGCCCCCCAAAAAGCTACAGTGATTTGCAACAGCATCAGACACAGCTGTAAACTGAATTTTGTCTATTTACTGGTTATGGTCAATGAAACTTCATAGTCATTTGTGTTGCTTAAATCACTGTGAAGCAGACCATGAGAAGGGTCATTAGCAGGCTTTTACCGGACACTGGGGTCAGCAGGGGGAGACTTTGCTCAGAAGCTTGAACAGCCCCAGGCCACATTTGCAGACCCGTGGAGGCCGCCCCTGCCCTCCACACTGCTGGGCTGCTCTGTCACAGTACCTGCCCCCTTGCTGCTGAGAAAGGGGGGTGACTCCTGCGGGAGGGCAGACAGCCAGCCTGAAGGGAGCCACATGGTGGTGGGGGGGTGTCCAGGTCCTACCCAGTTTCACCATAGGTGTGGGGGGGGTGTGAAATGCCAGGAAGGTATCCCAAGACCTGGACTTAGAAATCAAGATGTGCAAACTGGAATGCTGATGTCAGGGAGGAAAGCTGACCCCCTGTACCAGCCTCTCTGTGGGCTCTGCCTGTCGTCTTTTCCATGGATTGTTCGTATGTTGATGTAACAGGTAATGATTCTGCATGAAAGTTCATGTGTGTGAAAACACAGTTATTGTAATCAGAATAGCTTTTCAGATGCTTTATTGTAAGTGCATTTATATTTTTATTTTTCAAATAATAAAGCTGTAACACCATTTGTAGGTAATGCATATACGTCCATTTAAAAGTTTTACCCACTCAGATGTTTAAAATGAGACTTCAAAATGTAGAAGACCACCTTTGTTAGACATGAGGGGTGACTGTGGGAAACGCCAGAGCTCCAGGTGGCTAGGAAGCAGAGGTAGGCAGTTACGCCTGCACGCACACCTCACATCGCGGAGCCAGCCAGGCCTCAGGCGAGAGCCCTGGTTGCCCTCTGACCTGATTCCTCCTCCTGGCAGCATTTCAAACTCCTTCCAGCTCCTCAAGCTCCCCGGGGTCTCCCTTCACGGCTCCCCTCACGTCAGCAGGTGATGTGGTCCCCACTCATGGAGGCCCGTCTCTCCTGCGAAGGTCAGAGGCGGAGGTGGCCCTGCTCGCATCCATCCTTTCCTCGGCCTCTCCTGTGCTGCCACCTTCTCCCTCTCCAGCAACTCCTCCCCCTCAGGCCTCTGAACAGGCTTCCAAGGGAAGAGGAAATGCACCTCCGTCTCCACCTCTGCTGTCTGTGACCCCACGGCTCTACCAAACGTCAGGTAGAAAGAGCCGCACCCCAGCAGCAGCTGCTCCAGGCAGCTCAACTCCTTTATTTTTATTTTCGATAATGAGAAGATGGAACTGCTGAAATCTTCTACAAGAATAGAAAGACAGTGCTTTAGGAGCAGACAATTTGGGAACAAAGGCTTCAGACTGGCCTCTTAAGTGTTCACATCTAAGGCACACGTGTGCCCACTGTTGTTGGAGAAGCCCTGGGGTGGGGGGGTTACCTCAGGTTTTGTCCTGTTCTTCACTAAGGTCAATCCTACCTGATGCTTAACGGCACTTACTAAGAGCTTTCTGT